CCAGAATACTATTTACTGTCCCGCAAAGTTCTTATTCTTCAAATTAAGTTTATGACACATTTATGCTACTTGCACCAAATTTCAACTAGCAAGTAAATCTTGTCGATATTTTATTTGGATATAGATGAATGTCTACCTTTATCTGAAAAACTTGTTCTGGCTATGATTTCATTTATAAAATGTTAAATAAGTATTCAGGCATATTATAGACTTTGAAAAACAAGGCATTCATAATTACTTGAATCGAATGTCATATTCTTATACTCTTTGTGATTTATCATTACAATAAATATAGCACATTATCATAGACTTGCACTGCAACTGGGCTGAGATTAAAACGGTAAATATAAGTTGATGATAATTAATTTCTTCGATAATTTATTCGCTAAACTATAGTGCGCATCTAGTGTATTTAATTAGCAAGCTTGAATGATCAAAATTACGCCTAATTCCAGAAGGATTCAATAAGGACAGTGAAGAATTTTGTCAATATTGAAGTACTCGCATACTCATCTAGCGATAATTAAAATATAAACATAGGTACAATTCAAATTTTATATTCAATGTTCCAGTTTGATGCTGGAATATTTAATTCAATGTCATAAACCCTCCTGTCTGTCTTCGTTAAAATGCAGATAACGGATTATTATTGTTTATGTAAAATATATTTAATATCGTTTTGATATATACCAATCACGAAATTCCAAATTTTAGAAAAATAAGGGCTTTATTGAATCTTATACAAAGATTAACTACACACAGCTCTACTCTAGCCGAATACTACTACTAAAGACTTCTACAACGAACTAACAGAATAATCTAAAGTTGTATGCTTTTATACTTTCTGTAGCACTCGCAGCTACAATCTGCATAGCAACCTTTTACCTTATTTTACACATAGTTAAATTATTCTTAGTAAGACTATTCTACTACGGACCATCATTAATCCAATATGGATACGACTACAGTACTTACGTAGACATTATTCACACCAGCCAAAGTACAATGAATTAACCATATCCTAATATATGATTTACAGTTTTATTTTTACCTATAGCCTTATTAGTAACTCAACAGCTTACTGTATATAGTCATCTGTACTCTAGCATAGAGTCTCTACCTCTACAGTCTATAGTTATAGCTACCAAATATCTCTTAGGATAAATATCTACCGTACATTATACTAAACATGGCTAGCAGTCTACAATCACAATACTAGTTACATTACAATCGTAAAGAGCATTATTAATTTAATGTTGATGTCCATATTTAAATGCTTTATCAAGCCACTACACAGACCTCAGCGATCATTTTGTATTTGATCAATACAGCTAGAAAATTATTTTTCATGTCATATTTACTTACAGTCAATTAATCATATATCACTATAATAAGTAATATGATTTAATTTCTGCAATATTCAAGAATCGAGTCTGTAAGTATTTGATATTAAGATAATCAGTTTCTAGACATCAATTTATCGTATAATGCTTCTCTTAAAAACTTATTCCGTTTAATACCGAAGCACATTTATTCATGAAGCTATAAAATATTATTCCAACAAAGAGCTTATTCGTAAGCATTTGATGTTTACAAGAGATTTTAAATCTAAATGATTATTTAAATATTTAGTACTTTCTAATGTTATTCATTGCTGCTCTTTATGCAGTGCCTATCCTTTGAAACTATTTCTAAACTAAGAGGACAGTTAAAAACAAATCGTCAATTGAATATTATATCCGGAAAGTGGGTCTTTTGCTATTACAATTGGCAGATATCATAATGCATAATCTTTTGTTATAAATATGATCCATTTTCGGTCCAGCAAATTTGCATAATTGACTGATAAGTAATCTAAGGGGACATGAAAATAACATAATCATAATTTCCCTTGCTTTTGTCATTGTGCTAAACTAGCAGGCAATCATTCATTTTCTGATTATAATGTTACTAAGCTGTAAACGTGGAGTTAGTTGAATTAAAATTCAACCAAGATATATAGTTCTTTAGAGCTATAGTTATTAAAATTACGAAATACAGAAGACACTAGTTAGTCATGCAACACTAAATACTACGCATCCAATATGAGAAATCTATTAACTTTATTTTAAATCAAGAAATATTCGTTGTAGAACATATTTTATATCTTTTTTAAGTTATTGGCTATGAGAAACTAGATTATACCAGATCATATTTTGAGATATTTTAAAAGAACTATCTAGTTATGATTTATTCACTTTATAGCTTATTAAATTTGAAATGTCTGCAAGCAATAAAAACATAATTGGTACTTGACAGCAATGAAAAGAAATAATTTCTCAGGAATAGAATTTTTATTTTTTGCTAGAATTTGTATAACTGTAGTAAATTTCGTCGTACGTGCTTCTGGTTGTGATGTGATGATTGTATGAATTCTGCTGTAGTTAGTACATAGGCTAATCATAATTTTCAAATTTAGCTATCTCAATTCAAGCAGTAAATGAAATTTCATAATTCAATTATGAGCTGTAGATTTATTTGTGGGATGCATAATAATGAAGATCATTTTACATTAAATTCGAAGATAAAAAATCTCAGCTATAATAATTCTTGTAAATGTACTATAGACAGAAAACCATTCTAGTTATAAACTCAATTAAAAATATTCACTTCCGCTGTCGTTCCTATCAAAAATTTCGTTTGACCAGATGCATCTCTCATATAAGTTCGCTTTCATTCAGTTTTAATTAGGATGCGTGAATAGAAATTTTTCTTCATATCCGGAGGTAGGTTATTTATTCTCCATTAGGTTAAAAGCTTACAAGACACGCTATTAAATTTAAATGCACAAACAATACTGAAGAAAAAAATATAATGAAGAATTACTTTAAATATCGACCATGCCTTCAATTTTTGCACTACATTGTCTGTGTTATAAAATACCTTTGTGCATTATCGTAGGATAATTTAAGTTGAGTTGCAATTATCCAGGTCTTTGATTACTGTAGGATTTTTTAACGAACAATGTTCCAAACAGTTATCTTACTAATTTACCTTCATGAATGCTAACTTACCGTTTTACTGACTGCTATGCCACAACTGAAAGTTTCTTTCAAGATTAAATAAAAGTGTGAATTCATATAATCTATCCTATAGTAATTTAGCTTTATTATTTTTTTCGTAAGATCTATAATACACAAAATCTCCAGTATCAAGTATTCTTTATTGTAAATTTTCTGCTAAGCAGCACATGATACTTAATTACTTATCTTTGATACCAGATGACTCATCAGTAATGACCATTTAAGCGTAATTAATTTCTGCAATATTCTTTAACTCCTAGGTTAAGCGGAATTTCTTTAATCTCTCTATTTCAGTCATGATGTGCTCTATTTTGATCAAAAGTATTTGTAAATTTAAGTTACCTACTATTCATTAACCATATTTCACTTTTTTCATAAAATAGTTGAGTATAAATCGCGATAAACCAAGTATCGATCCTTAATCAATTTCCTTAGATAGTACTCTAAGTACTTCTTTAATAATTCCTTGTATAAATATTACTATTATATTAGCTTTATTGTAAGAACAGAGATAATTATGTTATTGTGATTCATTTAACCGCATTTTGTCTTAACCATTCATATCACAAGTGCGAACAGATTAATTGATAAATACATTATTTATTACCTAAAATACTGTTTGACAGATTTAATCTAACTATAATGATCGTTAATATTATTTGTTTATCATCGATGAATTAGTATTAAATACTACTGAGGGAATTTAATACATAAAATCAATACCTGTCTTATTTTACCTAACTTTTAATTAATAGATAGCGATAAAAATATTTTGATAGGTTCTTGTGGTAATATATCAGTCATGGCATAACACGTTCTATTTCACCTGCTAAATATTAATTAACTAAACTTCCTGCAGCTGATCGTGTTATATTTCCTGTACTATACAGCATAATTTCATTCTTCAGCAAGACCAACAATCGCGTTATTTATCTAAAGTTTGTCTGTTGAAATATAATGCAATCCTCAATTGCTTGGAAATTATTTCTATCAATATTTTGTTTGGCACGTAGATATCACCATATTATAAACTACAAGTCATTAATTTTCCTCTCTATCAATCAATCATTAAGCTATCCAATTATGCTCCAAAAATGCCAAAGTTTCACGACCCATGAATAAACGTCCAATATTCATAAATAAGTACAGTATGAATATAATCTCGAAATCAATAAATTTTCTTTCGTTAAAATACGTGCCAACGAACTTTAAATCAATCGCTATCATTAATTTTAATTTAACTCATCAGGTCATTATGTAACATTTAACCGTATTTTGGGAGGCATCACAGAAAATAGTTGATAATTTTATCTGACTTCCAGGATATAATATCGCAATAAATGCCGATAGATTCCTTTTTCCTGCTTTATAAGCTAATTTTGAAAGCAAATACATATGTAAAGTTATTGTTTTACTGATGCATAGATGCTAAAATAACAAGATTGCACTGACCAGATAGTGCTGAAAATTAGCCAAAATTTAGCCTAGAATAATAATAAGCGTTGCAATAATCTATGCCATTCCAATAGCAAATTTATCAGTATCAGTTGTCTAACGTGATGGCATGATCGAACAATTAACATTAAAATGTCGTCCAAATCATTTACGGCTCAAATTTTTTTGCTCTATTTAATCTTTTTATTTCTATGTTGCTATTTTGTAATGCGGTAAAATTAACATAAATATTCATGCGAGAATCGTTTCTATATATTTTATAGCAGAATAGTGGATAACGAAATAAAATCACAAAAGGATAAAGCAAAGATTTAAATTCACAAATTTTAAATTAAGGCCTATTGTAATAGATATAATTTATAAAAGTATCAATTCTCCTTAATTCATACGTTAGGAAGACTAAATTAACCAGAAAGATTTTTTATGCTAATTATTTAAAAGGATGTAAAACGGTTTGGCCTGAATCAAGCATCTAACTTTCATTTAACTATGAAGCAAGACATAATTGATAGTAGGTAAAATAAGACCCAAAATATAAATAGTACCATAATATTTCCTTTGTAGGAATATTGATAATTAAATTAATAAATTAATCATAACCATAAAATTAAGAAAAAATTATCAAAGGGATTATTTAATAATGCAAAAATGCAGACTTCTTATTTAAAGTAGATAAGGATTGTCAAGATAAAATTTGAACTTTGAGTTTGAATGTAAGTTATATGATATCGCTTAAGCGATTATTTATCGCTGGATCACTGCGGAAGATAGGCGGTTTTTGAAGGCTTCTCCTGTTGTTACTAATAGTATTCCCATTTGATTTCTTCCTATTTTTTCTCTTATCAGGTAGGCCAAGATGATTTCTAGCCAATAAAAAATAAATTTAGCTCTAGAAAGGCTTCCCAGAGAAATGCAGCTTGTAATCGCATGTAAATCAGATATTCGAAACATGACAACTTACCTTGGACGCTTTCTTAATTTGTAGCATAAACCAACGGTGATACCAATTAATACTAATAACACAGCAATAAGCATAAACATAATTGAAATAGGTAATCCTCCTGCAATTAAAGCAACGCATATTAGCGGCATATTTATGGATTAGGATTGTTAGCTAACACGCAAAAGGCAATCGTAACTACTTAAATTATGCGAAAATTTAATTTATTTTCGAATAGCAAAAATTTACTTACCAAAGGTAGGAATTTTATTATTGTAAAATTGACAGAACTCGCCATGAAAATTATGCGTACAGCTAGTAGAATTAGAAAAAAATTTCTTAAAGCATGCCTATATCTTAGTCATCAGAGTAAGATAAGAGCAATATTTTAATGGCTCAAAAGAGCACTTAAAGTGTTAAATGAAAACAATCTCTGCTCCAATTTAATCGAATAGATTAAGATCAATTAATAACAAAACGAAATCGCACGCTAGATGTTATAATTTATAATCAGGAGCAATTTTTAGATTATACTTTAAAGATCCCACTAGATTGTCATAATTTAATTAAAATTATATAACTACCCTAAGTATGCATTTATCCAGTAATAAGGTTACCAATAACTCCATAGAAATGATTACATGGCCGAATTCTGATATTTATTTTATATTAAATAGTACGAAATCATTACCTGCACTCTGCAGCACCATTGGTCCATCTACAGACTCCATCATTTTTACATGTTTCTGCGCAAATTACTGAAATAATTAATTAGATTTTTACTTAATATGAAATTCTAGACTAGCTCAGTAGTATTTAGATACTATAATATCCGTAATCTAAAGTTCAAAATGTACAGTAAAATATTTTACCTTCGCAAGACTGATTACCATTTTTACAATCACATCTGTATGATCCATTAGTATTAACACATTCATGTGTCGTAGGAGAGCATAAAAGCTCATTGGCCGCACACTCATTTATATCTATTGTAGCCGAAAATTGTCAATTAATTAATCAGGGCAGTATAGTAATTCCATCCCAACAGCTATTTAAAACTTCTTTAAGAAATAATAAAAGGATGTTAGATTCCAAGCTTAATTTTACCTTTGCAGCTTTCTCCATCTCCAGTAAATCCTTTAGGGCATATGCACATTCTTGTAGTGTTAATATTGCTAGTATTTATGCTGGCATAACATAATGCATGCATGCTACAATTTAACGAAGCTTGGACACAATCATCTTTAGTTCTCAGTTCAAATCCTAAATTAGAATGATATGCAATAAAACTATTATCAAGATAGCTTTTGTTAGTACTTTTTTTAAATTATATTATCAACTGATTTCGTATCTGTCTTTTAATCGATATCAGCTGTTATGGCATATAGCTATAATGATAATAGAGAAACCTGTGCATTATATTAAGCAATTGAGGTAAATATTGTGTGTGCTGTAAATTTTAGATATGAAAAGCTATTATACATTCATGGCAATTCTTTCAAATTACATTATAAGATTAATTGTTCAAGTTATCAGTCTTAGAGCATCCCCTAAATAAAGACTGACTGTTTAGATACAGTTACTAATTGTGTTGAATAGACGTACTCAAATATCATGAGAGAATTGAAGGAAAGTTAGAGCGGTTTTACTAGAAATTAAAAATATGTTAAACTTTTAACGTGAATAGACTAAAATCTGCGTTTAAAGAAAACATCCATATCACGATTCAACAACCGGCTTTTTTCTATTAAAGCCGTACGAAATTTCATTACGCAGCAATCGCATAGATGCTAGCACCTTCTCCATTACAAATCGTGATTGATTAAATGATTCTAGCTATTGCATCGTGATTTAAATCAAAATTACTGCTGAAATCTACAAAGCAAAGTGAAAAAACTTCATAAGTAAGATCTATGAAGAATTAAGTATTCTGGACTTATAAATACAGCGGTATTAAATTTCTGTAGCTCATCTGCACTATTAACCCTAAATAAAACAATTCAGAGAGTTCCAGACGAAAATTAAGAAATTAAATTCAATATCACAGTAGTACGCTTAAAATCAAAACTTTCTTAATAGCTTATTTATACGAAATGCTATCTATTGGATTACTAACTTTTGTCTGAAATTAAAATAGTTCCTAGGATGCCCTTAACATACCTTTACAATTTGTATATAATACAAATATGTACTTTAAATAGGCTGTCGATCTCAATCAGATATTATCGGGACAAAATAGGTATTGGAAAATATATTGATAAAAGTTTAGAACATGGAAATGAGATCAAACTGCATTATGTTTATTTTTTTATTTACGACGTAATCGTAACCCGTGTTAATTAATAGCTAATGTGGCAATATTCTTAATTCACGCAAGAATGTTCAAAATTTGCTAATATATTAGCATCTTCCTCTGTAAAAAATCAATGACTACGTAATCCATTGATTAGTAGATGTCTAAAGACGTTTGCAATTAAGTTTAAGAAACCGTTATCGTTAATAAATAAATCAAATTATATATTTTTATAGTTCTCTAATTTTATCAAGCTTAATGTTTGCTATTTCTATCATATTTAGATATTCCTTAATAAGGAAGATTTTGCAGTTTTTGGACTCTAAATTAAGACTGACAAGAAACCAAGACATTTCAGTTATCACCATATATCATAAATTGGAAATAAGTAAAACTACTTTATAACAATTTTATAGCAAAATAGCTCCAATTAATAAATTTTCTGATACTGAAGGAATTTATTGCCCTTACATTAATGATGCATAATATCAATAATATAATTAATTAATGGATAGACTACCAAACTCTTATCAACTACATACAGAAAAATAATAAATTCTTTATATCTCATATTTAGAAAATAGAATATTACCAAACATAGCTGCACCAGCTTTCGACTTTAGAATTTACCTTGACTAGCTATGATAGCAATGATACTAATTTCGGCAGTCTGCCAGCGCTTGCATTATAGAAAATGACCCTTAAGAAATAATATTGTCAAAGCTAGACTAAATCAAATTAAATTTGCCTACTTCAACTATCTAAACATTTATTGTCTTTTCTGGAACTACTAAAAATAGACTAACAATGGGAGAAAGAATAATGATGTTACCATTACATGACTCTATCGCCGTATCAGTTTATGTAATTAAGTTATCTCTACGCCTTCGGGTTCATAGACAGCGAAAGAAACGTATAAGGGTAATATTAAATTATCTCTGTAAAGTAAACATAATCCACATCCATTCCATATTCTTTAGCTAAATTAAATGGTAACATAATTATTTGATATTAAAATGGTCATAATTAGTATTGGATGATTTTTTCATTTAATCATCTAAATACAGGAATAAAGCATATAATTTTAGACGACAGCCTAAGGGAAAATTAGGTATCTCTCCCACGCCTAATAAAAATACGGTCACGATGTTGCATTATATTTTTCTTCCTTCCTATTTCTAACTTCAACAATGTCAATTAAGATCTACATGATTATTCTCAGACATAACTGACCATGTGTTGCCTTTAGATTTAGATAGGAAGCCGAATTGCAAGAAACCAGATTTCAATTGTTTAAAAATACTGCATTTCATATTGCTAACAGATCTCGTTATTGAACAAATTGAGCGATAATCAACAGAATATCAATGAGACGAAAGAAAAATGCTGAGGATTGAATTAAAGCAGCCACTATCAACTTCATCAGTGGTAATGTTAAGCAAATTGCAGAAATTGGCATAGCTATCTGATGGAAACTATTCTATCTTCTTATCAAGATAATAGATATTAGCAAAAATTAGAAAACCATGATAGTTTGATCTCTAAAAATTTTTTAATTTTTTAGGCTTAGCAATTGAAATAGTGCCGTAAATTTTAAAATTACGACTGCAGTACTTGTAGTATAACTGCAAACTGATTAACTATGATAATTTTTGATAACCTCAACCCTACCTATGATAACTTTCGAATATAATTTTAGACATATACATAAGAACTATAGTTTCACCTCAGCTATGATCGTGTGAATTCTGATGGAAAAATTTGAAAACGGTCATTGAGCATTGAATTCTAAGTTATTTTTTTACTTTGATATTAGAATCTAGTTTTACTGCTCACAAAGTCATTTATTATACAATAGTGAAATTTGAACTAGCTACGAAATGCATTTTAAGAAAAACTATTAATTATAACCTAACTTATAATATAAATTTTATCCGGATTGTAATATTAGTAAACAAAATTATTTAATTTCTGGTAGAATTCCTACCATTTTTTTACCTCATACTCATTACACAATAAAGACAAAATCCAACCTGATTCGCTTATAATCTCATAATAATATAGTTGTGCATTATTTTAGTGTGCACGCATATTTATAAGTTGCTTACCTAAGGGCTTTTGAAAGTTGTCCGGAGAAGCGCTGGTCATATATATAAAATTCTAATAGAAAAATGTAAATTTGAGACAGTATTATCGACTCAATGGTCTTTTTCAGATTAATTAGCTTACAATCCGTTATAGATACAAAAGCCATACGATTCATAATTGCAGTATAATATACGCATAAAATATTTTCTTTAATAACTATTAGTAATAAAATCATGGAATAGATTAATATCTCGCGTCCAATATTAACAGTTGAAAGTTAAATGAAAATAGTTTATGATAGTTAAAAATAAATTAAAGAAAGTTAGTAATCAGCTAATTTTCTTGCAACTTAAATTTATAGCAAGCTGTATATCAAATTAGAATTGCAGTTGAGTTAAAATCAGCATAGATAGCAACGCATTTGTTTATATTACTCTTACCATGTGATGTAATCCTGCAAGTAGAAGTAAAGTTAGAGCCCACATAATTTTATTAAAACTAGGAGATACGCTGAATTGGCAAAGGATGATGGAAGGAATAGTTTTCATCGGATTGTAACTGATTTAATTGAAGGTTGAATTAACTGATAACCTTGATATTATAGCAAATGGCATATGGCTGCTCACCGCTACTTATATTAGTGTGAAATAGATTAGAATATGCACGCTAGTTAAAAACAGCTGACTTACACCTACATGTCTATTTTATAGCATGTAAGCAAACACTACAAAAACAATACTCGTACAGATATTTGTCAAAATCTGTAGATGAAAATGATCATGTGACCTAACTAATATTTAATATAATGCATGTTTAGGGGTTAATACTATTTACTTTAAGGAAGTTGATAAGTTTTATAAAAATAATACAGAGTTGTAGTCCTAATTGATAATTAAAAAATGGCCCGATAAATTAGAAGCAAACAGTAACGTAGGCGGTGTTTTTATTTTTACTAAAAGAATAACACATTTATAGACACAATTCATAAGCTATTCCAGCAAGTCTATAGAATAAAGGTCTACGTTATTAATCATGATTTGTCAGATTCATAAATTCTCCTTTTACGCTTTTATATAGACAATAATAGAAAACCTTGTAATCATAATGATATCGAACTCGGACAGGCTATCTAAATTAATAACAACCACTCTATTGAAGGAATCTTTCTGTTGGTTAAGATTTTCATTTCCTCACAACGACTAGCCTGTATTGTTTCTTGAGAATAGAATAGCATCCATTCAGCGAGACTGATATTTCCATTATTTTATCTTGTACCGATAAATAATAGGAGATATAATGTCAAAATTTGGGACATAATTATTTCAGATTGAGATAAATGTATTATGAAGTTACATCCTGTTTACTTTAGATTCATAAAGTTCTGTTAACTTTTATGATATCATCATTATACAACTTTCAACTGATGCTAATATCACGTATCATCCAAGTAATTTGATCTATAGGTTGTTTTCTGTCTCACCATACTCCACGGGAAGAATAATTTTGATATCTATTTCATTTAGATAGATAAAGCCTTTTGCCAATATGTTACCAATAATTTTATTTAAAACAGATGCGCTTTATAGTATTTTAATATTTAAACTGTATGGCATCACATTAAGATATTATAGGCATAGAATTGAATGTATATGTTACATATATACTAATTTTTTTAATTCTACAATCCTGTAAATTAATGTAGTAACCATAGAATCACCCTATATATAATAATACATGAGTACCCTTACCAACAGAACAAAAGCCATCATAACTGAAATAATTTTGGAATGTAGAAATAACCATACATAACAAGATAAATTAGTCTTAAATTTTTTTCGCTAAATATTTATATTAAAACAGAATATATCTCTCATGCGGTTTTATAGCAGTTATATAGACTTCAGATAGCATTATAGGAGTAAAGATTAAATATAAAGCAGAATGCATATATGGTGTAATAAATTAGTAATGATAACAAAAGTTTCAGAAATTAAATTTAATTTATTATCATTTGCAGGAGCTATTTCTTTGAATAGAAAATTGTGTTATAAGTAAAAGAACCAAATCTAGTATACAACAGATAGAACAGAAAAATTGAGAAAAGGGAAATCTAATATCTAATTTACCTAATAAAAAGAAGGAAATTACTAGTCAACCCGAAGAAAGATCAAAAATAGATATATTACTGTAAATTATAGCCTGTGCGATTGATTTATCAGGCGCTCAATATTAGCATGAGAGCACTTCGATTTTATAATCTGTCATAAGATTAAAGTTGGTAAACGAAATTATTTACATTATTTCTTAGCGACTTGAACAATAGTGACATTGTCCTCACGTTAGCTATGAGGTAATTTCTAATCCAATTAATTATTAAGATTGACTAGTACAGTAAAAAATAGCCTTAACTGCATAACCATAAACAAAAAATCTTATTATATTACGATATTATCATATCACTGAGCTACAGTTTTGTTATTATTGCATAAATATCATATCATGAACGTAGGAGTTTTTTCATTAATTAAATGCCACTTATGTCCCTAGAAAATAGTTATAGTACTATCTAATTTTATCTCTTATCATTTCAGTTAGGTTGTATTCAAGAACTTTCTTCTTATCATAATATTATTTTAATACGCGTCTATAAAGTTAAAATGACTATAAATAATTCCATAAGTTTATATAGATGGATTTGTGCCTTGCAAGGATGCTATAAAATTTTTAACGTTTTTCCTCATTATAGGAGTAACTTTCAACTAAATTGACTGCAGCCTGTTATACTAATTTTAGTGACTTTAACCAACGATAGAAGTGATGAGTTTTGAAAGTGCAATAGTAATATGAAATCACTATATGACATAAAATAGCGGAGATGCTTAAACGAAATTTAGTAGAAGATTGCTAGTGCAATAAAACCCTCCACTTGCGATATAGAGTAGAAAATATTTTCCAAGCTAATGTATGCCTTACACTGGTAGCTGGTTTATTTTAATGCGAATCTCACAGGTTTTCATTTCATGCTTATCTATATAGTGCTTGAATTCATGTATGAGAAAGATGTACTGTAGTTAACACGTTAGTGATGTGTCATTTATTCATCATCATCCTCAACTCCATCGGAATAGCTATATTTGATGGCTGCATTATATAATTTAATATTGCCTAGTCAAATTGATTTCTACACCCCAGCAAATGATAGATAAACTCCTCGATCTTTAATTTTAGGCAAATACTAGTATTTCCAGCTTTATTCTTTCATTTTGCAAGACTTAGCTTCATAATACACAATTATAAAACAATAAATTTCAATTTTATATCACAGAATTATATCTTTCCAATTTATTGCCACGATATGATAAATGTTGCACGCTTATTTACGGAAATCTACCTATATTTTCTGGAATGCTCCGACAACAAAAAGATTTACTAGAAGTATATATCATTCGTTATCGATAACAGTCGAATTAATTAGTCAGTTTTCATTAAGAGATTACCATGTTACCATACTCATTGTTAAGCAACATAAAATTATTTTAATAGCATGATCTAATAGTGCTTTGCTTAAGTTGTTTTTTACTGTAACTGAGTTGGGCGTAGCCTTATATCAGATAGGACAGCAATCATAAATGAATTTACCAGTATAAATTTATCCAGAAATATTAAACAGCACTTCGATATAAGGTCTTAATAGAAGGTAATGATGAAGATACTTGTTCATAAATATTTATACATAGCCATAAAATATAGAAAAGCTTATTTATCATTGCGTTAAAAAATTTCGTCGGTTGATGTTTTAATTTAATTTTACTCTCATATTTATGGCTAATTGCATGTTGAAATTCAATTATAAAGATACATTTTGTAGTAGTATAATTCTAATCCATATCAACGACACCAGGTAATGTTTCACATTAATAATGGATTAAACAATCGACCTAGTTTGATGTATCAGTTGTAATCTTATTACTTATGCTGGTTAACTAATTCCTCTGCTACAGTGCTCCGATTAGTTCCATAGTAATTACTTTGTTAACATGTTACAAAAAGAAATACTTTCATTTCACAAATTCTATCACGAATATTAAATCACGATCTGCACAACTGAACTAACTACTTTCTGATTAACAAACTAATTATTGCGTAGTCACTTATGTACCTTGCCATGAATTCAATCCCTTATTGGATAAGAAATAATAATACGAAATACCAATGAAGGCAAAAATAATTGTATTTATTTAAAAATGGGAAAGAAAATAATGTAGGGTATTATAGCTACTAGTATATTTCGTAAAGATATAAGAAATTTTATTCAACCTCGAGGCTAGTATGATATTTCGGAAATTTTAGGGTCCGTCATAATTGCAATTAAATTACCAGAGTTAAATTAATGGAGAAATAGGTTTATTGGAATTAGTGCAAGAGGAAAACCGTGTGAGGTTATAGCGTGTATAACGACGTTACTAGTCGAATAGCTATTGTAATTTAGAATAGGTAAAACATGCAATCTTACCGTTTAAATAGCAGAACTAACTAACTAATAAGATAGATACAAGATTAAGACTTTAATAATGAAAGAAGCACAGCAGGAGGAAATTATTCATAAAACACGAATGGCTATATAAAATAGCTTAATTCTATACTAGGGTGGTTCTACGATATAATCAAGCTAGAGTATAAGAGATTTCCACAGTATGAATATAGTAGTTAAACGTAGATTATACAAATAAGGAGTTATGTTACAGTCTAAGTGGAATCAACTTTACTAGGAATAGACTATACCGTATTTAGAAGCATACACTACAGCTATCATTTTTGAGTACACATAAGTGAATCGACTGTACTATCGGTAAGCTAAGACGTTGCCTTAAATGTAGAAAGCTTCATCAATTCAGACTGGATATTGATTTAATTTTTATTCTACATTTCCTCATATGGCAAAGAAAAAACTATGTTTCATTCTATAAATGACTATTAGAATCGGTATGCGTTATAGAAGAAATTTATAAAGTTTGGATTTACATAGCCTAACGCTGGTATCTTAAAGATTACGTAATTGAGCAAATTGGGTATTTCTGCTAGAATTATGGAATTACTGAGCATGAAATTAGTAGCTTAGAGGTCTGTCACAAAACAGCTTTGCAACAAGATAACGCAATATACGATCAATAAGTCAATTCCTTGAACCATGTATCAAAGAACGATATCTGCACTATCACATACACTTTTGCTCTACTAGCAGACTACACAAAGACTTAAACGCCTCGTATTTTACGTTAAACACTAAGTTGGAGAATTCTACTTTATTTCACGATATACTGCATTTATATACTGTTCCTCAATAGTTCATGAGTCATAGTTAATACAATTAACCTCGGAATCATTTACTGAATTAGATATTAATTATAGCTACTGCTCCCTTAATGCAGACAACAGTATTTACGAACATAGACATGTAATGACTAATACAGAATAGTCAGATTACGATATGTCCTATCACGGAACATTTCCATGATAATTTACAGTCTACCATAAGTAAATTACAATCACAATGATTCGAACTGTAAGCAGATGATTTGCATTCCCTATTATAACTATTAATTTCAGTATGTGTATAAGTGTCACTGTCATAAAAAGTCAATGCTATATTAAAACACAGTATATCCAAATTAGAAGTTAACTAAATAAGGATAGTCTAATAGAATTATCCTAACATAGATATTTCTACTGTAATACAGTATATAACACTGTAACAAGGTCATATTTTTGCGTTAGTGAACTTCGATTCCTTTCTAAGTTTTGCCTACTGTACATTAATAATATTATCACCTTTAGGGTTCTAACAGATTTAGACGTTTGAAATACATATTGGAGTACGAAAAGTTCTATTCAAACAAAGTTTTGAACAGTAACAGTTTATTGAAGAGATTTAGATTCGGCTTTGTCTGCTCAAAGAAGCGACTTGCAATTTTATGTAATAAATTTTTTAATAAAGTATTGTCCTTTAAAATCGGTCTTTTGGCCTTCTTAATTAGATACAGCCAGAAATAAACATATTACGGTACATTAATTGCGGATCTGATGGTACTAGCTAATTTTAAGCAATGATCATAAAAGATTAACGCGATAGTCCTTGTATATTTTATAAGCCGCCTTTAAATCTATTGAGATAAAACTTGAATACTTTATTGTATTAGAAATAGTTGTACATTAACTAACTTGTTGAACTGGTTATGAATGAAGAATTGCAAGAATAAATTAGTTCAATAAGATTAGAATTTATTCATACACGGTCTACCCTTAAAACTTTAAATTTAATGTGTTAGGACAAAATTTTAATATTCTTATTAAATATAAAATTTTCGCATTTAATTAATGTAACGAAATAGAAATGCTACAAGTTGACTTTCGTGAGTAAAATAATTTAGTAAGATCACAACCTATATCTGAATTTGTAACTATCACTGTGATATAAATACTAATTAACTATTGCATTGGCTCATTAAAATAGGTTACTGTTGTTAAAGCTTCATAGTCTTGCTACAAAGATACGATTAATAAAGTAAGAAAAGATGCTCCAATTTATGATGTAATGCTCTTTACTGAATGAAAAAATTTTGGGTTTAATTCAAGTTATAATCGAACTTTTTGTGAGCTAAGGTAGATTGTCATATACTTCCATGATTAAAAAATACAAAGCTTTCAATAACCTAATAGCCAATTTTTAGATCATGATATCAATTACATCTACTATAGTCATTTAATTTAAAATAGAGAACAGGGGAAATTATAATTTTTAATTTTAATTCGATAGGTAAATGCTATGCATTACGAAACAGATGACATTTTATTAAGTAATTACTTATGTTCATAATTTTTAAATAACGTTGCTTAATGATCATTCATAAGTAACGTAACTTGTCAAGTTTAAATTCAACAGCAAGTAATAAAATGAATTTTACTATTCAAAGGTGTGAATTTTACCCAATTAAATTAAAAGTAAGTTAGAATAAAATGTAAATCTTAGTTTAATTAATACAGTAATTGAAGTCTTAATTTTGTACTAAAAATCTCTTCAATTTTTGATATTTGTTACTAGTATTTATGAGTAATAGAGTAAATGCTAATCAAATAAATAAGATCAGAGTACAAATTCTGATTTTACTCTTACTTTAGTCCTCATCTCGTACTAGAAATCCTCTCATCAATGCTATCCATCGTTACCAATATCTAATACGTTGCCAATAAATTAATCAATAGAGCAAGTTCAAGTCAACTAATTTTAGATTAGAGTGCATAATCGTGATTTATTTTGTAGATTAATCTCTTTAATTTTAGCCTTAATCTCGCCTAAAAAGTCTTCTCTTAAATCTTCGCAATTATTACCAACTGCTAGAGCTTTTTGTAAGCATAAATTAGCCATTTTCTTATCTTGTAGCCGGTTATAACTTTCACCCATTTCATAATAACACATTGCAACTTGAATATTTTCGTTTCCTATACGTCTCATATAAACTTCTAATATCATTTTTTGATGCTCTAGGGCGTCATCGTATTCATTAAAACGAATGAGAATTATAACAATATTGCGACATGTTTCAATAATTTCTAAGCTATCGTTGCTATGAACTTTTAATTGGATCTTTAGAATCTTCTTATAATAATCCAGTGCTTGTCGGAGTTGAGTATCCTGTATCTCTCTATTACTTATTGATTCATCCACCTTTTGTTCTTCATTAATAGCTAGGCGTTGATAGAAATTAGCAAAATTTTGATAACATTCTTCAACTTCACGACTGTATTCACCTCGTGATTGCAATTTTAACTTTAATGACTGATTTAAGAAATAGAAAACTAACTCGATACGTTCGTTTTCATCTTCATAATTGGATCTTGTATTAAAGATTGCAACAGCATGATTATTAAAATAACGTGCTAATTCAAATACATTAGAATCATCGACTTGCATAGCTAGTGCTACAGCTGTACCAAAATGATCGAGTGATTGTATATGATTACCATCAATACTATAAGTTTCACCTAGAAAATTATAACTATTCGCAAGATTGAAATGATTATCACCAAATGCTGCTTGTTTAATTTGGATAGCTGTCGCAATATATCGTCGTGCTAAAACGTAATCTTGAGTTGCGGTATGTATACGCCCTATTACATCATAAGTTGTACTTAATTGAAAGTGATGATCTCCAAAGATTGTTTTTTGAAGATTTAATGCTTTCTCTAGTAAGGTAATTGCTTTATCAAATTTACCCATCATACGCAATAGTCCACCTAATTTAATATAAGTATTTGTTATATCCGCATTTTCAGCGTTTAAAATTCCTTTCTTTAATAATATTGCCGCATTATATGATTTCAATGCCAACTCGTTTTGCTCGGGTAATCTCTTATAAATATCTCCCATGATATCTTGCAATCGAGCGACATAAATATGTTTACCGCCGTAATTGATAATGGCATTGCTGAGGGCTTGTTTACCGTTATTTAATGCGTCATCATATTTACCTTGCGAAAGGGCAATTAGTCCATGTAATAATGCAATACGGCTACGACAAAAGTGCTTATCTAATGTTATCACTTTTAGGATAGTTTGTGACTGATTAAGGTATTGACTTGCTTTAGTTAATTGACTTTGACTCCAATGGATATCAGCCATGGCTAAATATATTAAGCCTGAGTGATATTTTAATTGCTGTATTAGTCGCTCATCTTGTGGATTGATCCTGCTAACATAATCAACCCCATGTTGGCAATGAGTTAGTGCTTGGTCATAATTACCTTGAAAATAATAGAATGAAATATAATCATAATGACAATAAAGTTGAGCTAGCCTATTTGATTTGGAATTATCTCGATAAGCTGTTTCAAGTGATTGTAATGTTGATTTAGCATCGCCATATCGATGTAAACGGCAATAAACTTGAAATAATTGTCGATAATAAGGAATAAATTGTATATGATGCGATTGCTCTAACAACTCTTGCTTACATTTTAACGATAACTGAAGATAATCTAATGCTGATTGAAATTGACCAGTGGCATAATCGATACGAGCTAAAATATCATAACATTGGCACGTTTTACTATCATTTACACCATCATGATTCATGAAATATTGTAATGACGCTTGGCAATAGTCGTCTGCTTGTGTATAACAGTAGGACTGTAAGTAACATTTAGCTAAATGTAATTTAATTTTGGCCGCAATTTCAGCTAAATTATGATGATTGCCATTAGCATAACGACAACAATATTCGGCATGGACAACCAATTCATAATAGAATTGGTGTCGATTGTAATATGGATAGAGGGTTGAGATCTTTTCTAATTCTTCAAATTGATGTAAGAAATAGGTTAAGATAGAATCGATAGTTTGTTGATAGATTTTCTCATCTTTCAATTTCATATGGACAACATTTTGAATAATGGAATGAATACGGTAACCATGGCAACTTTCATTAATCATACCATAATTATAGAGTATTTGAATAGCAAAATTCAAGTCCTGGCGACTATGGCTATTATAATTTAGGTAATGGAGCAATTCAATTTTATCAATATGTCGCGGTGATACAAATGAAATAAAGGTTAACAATTCTGCTGCAATTGGATACTGTTGAAATATGGAGGTAACAGCTGGTTTGACTAAGATTATTGCTACTGCAACGGTCATTAGATGGCGATTTGATTGATTAGAGTAGGTTAACGGAGCAATATCATTTACAACTTCTTGATAATAATCACCTAATGTAATATGACTTACTTGAGTATAGGACCGAATAAAGTGCAATAATAATGGACAGCCATGACATAATTCTGTTAATATTGTTAATGGCGATGAATCATTTAGACGGTTAAGATATTGTCGAGATATTCTCCTACCACCATTTTGACCGTTTTGATTAGTATTAGTATTAACCGTAGTACTACTATTAGTAGTAGCAGTAGTAGTAGTAGTAGCATTGGTAGTAGTAGCTATAGCAGTAGCATTGGTCGTAGCAGCTGCTGAAGCTTGAGTATCGTCATTGGATGTTGTTGTCTTGGCCAGAGGAACTTTCTGTAAATATCGACGCGATATTTCCGACGATAACGGTTTAACTTTAATAAATCTGATTGTATCATCATTATGGACTTGATCAAAAACAAGAATGACATGAATATTCTCTCCACCTGGTAGATAGGTTTTTATCCACTGTAGGTATCTAATATCATCAAAAATTAATAAAGCAGAATGATGACTTTGTAAAATATCAATGATTAGGCTAATAAATGATTTCAACCATGGATGAAATATCCAACCATGATCGTAATAGATCCTGTCCATCAAGGATATTATTTTATCATCATAATAATTATAGTCATGAGGATTGATCGCGATATCATTATAATGACCTAGCAGTTGGCATAAATTTTCATATAAGGTAAATCGAAAAGAATGAACTCGACTACTACGACATAACTCGATACCTAATCTAATAAAATCCCGTTGCAAAGATAATATACTGGAGGCGTCGAAATAATAAATAATATCATAAAAATGGCGATGCTGATGAGCGTATTCAATTGCAAGTGTTGTCTTACCAAGACCAGACTCACCTTGAATAGCGCAATTTTTATTTTTTTTTAACTGACTTTCAATACCCATTAAATGATCATGGTTTCTCATAAAGTTAGGAAATCGACTAGGCAAACATATTAATTGAAATGGTTGACCGATAATAGAATTAGGTAGTTCAATATTATCGATGAAGCATCGATAATATTGCTGTTGTTGCCGCTGCTGCTGTTCCTGTTGTTGTCGTTGTTGTTCTTGGTGTTGTTCTCGATGGTTTTCATGTTGCTTTTGTCGACCTTGCTGCTCTCGTTGCGGGCTATGGGGAGTCTCAGATTCTTGTAGAATTAATTGAAGCTGTGAATCAGTAATCAATGAATCTTGAAGGCATTGGTGTCGTATCTCAGCGGGAATACAGACTAGACGTTGCTTTAATTCATCATAAAGGGGCTTTCGTAATGTATCGGATAATGACGGAAGTTGTATAATCGTTAGCATATCCATTAGCCACTTATAGACAACAATTTTAAGTTGCCGAGTATTATAAGGTAAACGATGAAGGCAGTAATCTAATAAATCTTTATAACCTAATATACTGACTTTAGCAATACTAGGTTGATATTCAGTACCATAAATAGCGATCAATTTTAGATCATAAGAACAATATGATGATTGAATGATTTGACTTAAACAATCTATTGCTATATAGCAGTATTGATAGTCAATAAGATGGTCTTTCAAGTCCATCATTAATTCAAATAATATTTTACGGTTATTATTACGTAAAATTTGATGACAACGATGATACCATTGAGCATAGCAATATGCAACGTGAACTGGATGTAAACTGGTACTTTGGCGGATTAAATCTTCGATAATTAATAATTCCATAAAGGTAGCATATATCGATAAGAGATCAACGGATGATCGCTGTTGATATTTAGAATTATCCTTTCCTAACTGGTCATCATAACAACTTTCAGCTTGCTGATCTTTCTCTTCAAAGTTAATTATTTCACGAAATTTATCAGTGAGTAAACGAACAGAGGGTAATAATAATTCAATTTGTTGACAAGTTAGAGGGTAATACGATAATATTTCTACTAAGATTTGCCGACATATTGTTGCTGTTTTGAAGTATCGTTTATAGTCAAATTTTCGACCGTCTTGTTTGTTGCCACTTAATATATCAATAATGGTTCTAACATTTCTGTCCACCGTAGACGATGTTATTGATCGTATGTCGTTTATAACTGGCTTCAATTGATTTAGATCATCTTGATCAATTTTATCTTCTATACTAGCCAGAATCCCGTTGCTACCATCACTCGATAGAGATGTTTTCCTGTCTACTTTATCCACTTGATCATCTTCTAGTTTCATGATCATAATTTCATTAGCAACGGTTTCTTTCCCCTTTTATTTCACTCTTCTTTTACTCTTTTGCGCTTTCACCCTCACCTTGTAATTCTTATAGTCGGTTTTACCCAGTAAGGAATTTTAAAATATCTTAATACAATACATCGAAAAGACCAGATGTATAGGAAACGATTGCTATAGACTACCTAAGTCAACATTGAAAAGTTAGTTATCTCCCTAATTCGACTGCTACCAGCCTTTTTGTTCATGAACTTACTCAATACTAAGATCTACACTTTGCGTCCTATTTATAAATTACTTAATTATCTTACTTTAAAACATTTTTTACATTTTTATTTTTAAACTTCCATGACTAAGGTAATACAATAGACATCATCTCTGCAATAATGTGTCTACTATAGTGATGTTTTGTTACTCCTATCAATAAAAGATGATTGTTGGCAAATTTATTTGTTTCTCTTATAGAAATGAAGAGGCTAATAAGAATAGCTTAAAATATAATTTAAACAATAATGCCATAGAACCATTATACATTATTTAAAAAGATAATAATAAAAATTACTGCTTAAATGGTAGCTATTTTATACAACTCGGCCAAGACTTTAAAAGATTCCATTCACAATATTAATGTACATAACAGATGCTACTTTAATATTTAAATTTCATCTTATTTATCAATTTCCACGATAACACATCACGAACATTTCGACCAATCCTATCGTTTCTTAGATAAATTCAATCACTTATAAGACAGTACTGTATACGCTATCCTACTATCTAAAATTCGACATTATTCTAACTAGTTGGAAGTAAAGACAAGGCAGCGTAGGTACTGCAGTAGGCATTTAAAATGTCACATTGTCCATCCATAGATCATATAACAGACCTCAATGCTTCTATAAAATAGCCACGTTTGGATAGCTCGATTTGATCGTAGACGAATATTTAATTTTCAAATATTTTATTGTATAGATATATCGAACATAATAATCATCCTGAGAACAATAATCTTAAAGTTCAAATGCATATTAGGTAGAATGTGCTAATATCATAATATAGAATACAGTATGTTGCAGTCTACGACTAGATTGCACTGCAGATGCTATCATTAGATGTGCGATGTATATATATATATTCGTTTGCAGCCTAGAAAAAGACACAATCAAGTGCTACAAAAATTCCTACCATCGTAATGCTCTTATTATGGTGATCATACATTAAATTATTGGCCACGACTAGTGAAGATGTCAAGGCAATTTTCCATCGGAAAATATACGTGATAATCTTCATTTGTGTCCATACAATGCAAACCTGGCAAAAAAATAGTCATAAAAAATTCAATTATATCATAGACGTACAATTAATAATTGCAACCTTTGTCATAGCAATATAATAACATTCATGAATTGAGACTCACTGGTAGAAACTGGTCGAAGCATTGAGTCTTCCGGACATGAAAATAATGTAATTTTAGTTGGTTGTGCATACATTTCTCGATGAATACAGGAACTACCAAGTAATGCCTATTAAATACGTTAAGAATAATTATAGGGTTAAGCACAGTTAATTAGGAAAACATGAATCAAATATGTCTATTTTTTAACCATTATCGATGATATCTAGTCCAATTTTACCTCAAGTATGTCCAAAATTACACTATCGTGTATCACGTCTTTAAATCTGTCGATAATTTTCATCTATTGTAAGACATAATTGATCATATTGTCAGATTATATTTTGAGATATTACACAGTCTTGATTGCTAGCATTTTTACCTTGGTCACGCCAGGATTGGTCAAAATGTATAAAAGGATAGACTGCTCGTATTGCAATATTGTGTCTTTAACCATCTGTCCGCGAGCATTATACCATGGTTTTCCAATAAATAATTTACTAATTATAGAACAAATTTAATTTTGTTATAGAACATCCGATAAACAAAATGGAATGGCTACACTCCATTTTCTAACCTTAGATTTTCGGTATCGCTACAGATACCTTTATTATCAGTTTCATCACTCTAATAAGTAGAATGAAATACAAATGAAATTTTAGCTATTTATTAGTACCGTAGTAAGATTGATAATAAATATCTCACTGTACATTTATTATTCTAAATGACCAAGGCTTTATAAAATCATTTGCCACAATGCGCTTCTCAGTAAATCCAATCATGTAAACCTGCATAAAAATAGATGCGATACAATAATCAAAACATAACAAACATCTTCCTATAAGGCAGCTTTGTAGCCATACCATTTCTAAATTGATAAGATCTCGCAATACTTCATCTAATGTATGAACATAATCGTCGTTACAAGGGGTTAATTTTGCCTGTAAAAACACGTTATAAACAACAAGGACCTTCAATGCTAGCTTCAATTTTAAAAAATTAAAAATCATAGATTATTACAAACGTGAAATCATGTAATGATATAACACCTTTAAATCTTTAATAGTTATTCCGATAGAATTCGTTTTCCTGACAATATTCAGAATATTCTTTACCAAGGATAATAATGCTTCACCGTAGCTAAATTTTTGTCCAAGAAGTTTCATGCCAATATTTGTATCGCACGGCTGGATTGCTGACGTTGTTATTTCGTTACGGAAGGATAACATGTCTTCAGAAATACCTTCGCCAGTAATCTGATCCTCACGAAAGTTTTGTTGTTTAATTCGGCATTGAATATCACAAGAATTTAGCAATAAATTGTCATAAGTGGTTGTGTTTCGAATAGCAAAAGATGATTCGCCAACGCCTTCATTCTCTGTAACTATTTCCTTCTCGACACAAACTAACAAATTTTCGTTAGACACTTCATTATTGCCTACATATAACGTCTTTTTCTGCGTATAAACAGTCGAATCATCACTCTGAGCATTCAAGCATATAATTTGCTGAGGCAGCGCCAACTTGATTGATATCTTTAACCAAAAAATTAACAAAGTTACTACAACAGTTATGTAACATGATGACAACAAAAAATATTTCCTTACTCAATTTTGTGCTATATAAACTCCGTTACTTACGAACTCTCTAGTTAATAATGACAGCAGACAAGCAAGTTCTACGCCATTCAAATGCAATGGAAATTTATAATAGTTGTTATTGCCAGAAGATACAGTTAATAACAAACTCGAAATGACTTGAGCTGAAGAAAATATAGTTAACGGAATCTTATGCGATAGTCTTCTATCATACCTAACATCAGTTACAAGTGAAGAAGAAAAAGTCTTAAATGTATGCGAATGTGTAAAGTCCAATCCCGAAATATTCCATACCTATGCGACATTGCATATTGTTTACCAAACGTCGCTAATGTTTCCGATGCGCGATCCCGACTGCGGAACTAATTATGACGATCATTTGGAACTCGAATAAGCCGTTGTAATACTTTTGTTATAGCTTCGTAATTTAATAAACTTGATTCTAGCAGTAATTAATCATTTAAGCAGAGCAAATACACGCTACAGCTAAAAATATATCTTCTATTTAATAATTATCGCAGCACTGCTGGCGATTATAATATTCAACCCCACCTTTGATTGACTCGATAGTGAGTTATTGTATAATGCAGTTAAATATTACTTTATCAATCTAACCTCATCCAGATTCAATATGCTGACTATAATGCTACTCAACATTGCTTATAGCAACCGATTCTAAAGATCAACTAATTTCTAAGCCTAATAAATATTTAGTCACCTTTTTAATCAAGCCTCGCTGCTTAAGATCTTCAAAGGCGTTTTCTAAGTCAGCCTGCAATTACCCATACAAAGAACATTTCCTACTTATACAATTTTAAAAATTGAATCTAAACTTATAGTCGACGAAAAGCAGAACTTACAGATGGAAAAGTATGAAGAAGCCTATAGATATCATTAGAATTATATTGTTCACCCTTTAATGACAGCGAGGCCTAGAAAAGAAATGCTTTATTATGAATTTTCGTTGTCAATTCTTGCTAGTTATCATATCATGTTCTATGAACTAATATACAGGCGAAAATATTCATGACAAACCATTAAAAGTTGTTGTAAAACCCCACGCGTAATATCTGCAACATTTTTAATTTTCGGCGCAAGGGCAGCTGGATAACTTTCGGTAACCTAAAATGAATCCATATTGATTGCAGTTAGCACAGCTTATACATATTATCATAAATGCTTGTGCAATTATAATTAGATAGGGGGATTTCTTTCCTACACTTGACTGAACATCATAACCATCTGGAATTCCTTCCATAATGTTGGATGGCTGGTAATAATTCATCACGTTGGTATTGTCCACTTCCATTTAGCAGATACTTCACAGACGATCTAAATTTTTCCTCCGGTGTCAGTTTTGCGTTGCTAATGTAATCGGACTATGTACAAATTGCAACCCTTATCAGTATAATATCGTGCATGCCTAAATAATAACATTGACTTAAATATAGATTTTATCCAAGTATATTAGGAAGTGATCTAAATCTTACATTGACATTAACAGTTTCGTTTACATATTTATCTAGTTTCCTCATACACTCTTGATTCTTTATAAGCTTATCATAGCGATGTCGAAGCATTTCAGAGGTCCTACTAGCGGCATACTATAGAATAACAACTACAATATATTAACTAATTCCCTAAACCGTCATTAGATATTTCAGCTAATACGCTACTCTATGATAAAAGTGATACTGACAGGAAGTAATCGCTCAATTTCATCTCGTATGAAGGACCAAGAACCAATCGCAACTCCAATCTGCCGCAAGCCAATTTTAACAGCTTGGCATATTAAAATCTGTAACATATATGAAAATTAGCCTCCATGAAAGGATGCCTAATACTTACAATATTAAGCTATCAAGGCTATTAAATTATTTTAGCTACCATGTCCTCTTCTTCGCGAGTGTATAAATTTTTACGTTTCTTGAGCAATTTATCATCCTTCGTAATGCCTAAGTAAACCCGTTAATATACTGTCAGTAAAAAAAGTAAGGGTAGGGATTTCAATAACAGTTACCGTACTTGATACCATTGAAACTTACCAAAATTTTTTTTCCGCTTCTTTGATATAACTTCGGCCGATTTTGTAATAGCCTGAGAAGAAGTGGATACAGCAGTAGACGAAGATACTTGATCGCCCTTTTTATTTTCTATTTCGATATCGTTGTTATTAATCAGAAAATAGTGAGCAGAAATATCAATCTTGATTAAAGTTACCTAATAAATGCGAATCATGTGTCCCTTCATTTAACTTGGCTAATCTTTTAATCTTCGATAAATTATTGTTTTCAATCTTACTTAGTGACTTCAATCGCCTAATTTTAGGATACTGATTAAGAGACAAATAATCATCCAGTTATTTTATCAACATATGGTATTGTTCCTAGTTAAGAATAAAAAAAGAATTACAAAATATGATTGATCGATCTCAATTTCCGACTGAAGTGATGCCTCAAACGAAGTAGTTGCAATTTTCCAATTTCGAACTAGATGGCTAAAGAATCCCGAATCAAGCCCACCAGCACCTTTTCCGTTACCTAGCAGATTATCGCGAACCTTATATTGTCTCGTTAACCCATCTTCCACCTTTGCTAATTTGTCTACAATTGCATTCAATGCAAAATTAATCATGTAAGTTAACAAAACTACATATAATCTGAATCGATGAAAGCGCAAACTCGCACCGATATCTGTTGATAAGCAAACGGATTGCAGATCTCTCCAAAATCGAACAACACTCCTAAAAGATTCCAATTTATAGCTTTTGCAACTGTAGTCATTACTTCTGCTTGAAGTGTCAATAAAATATCCAGTATCAGAAACACGAAATTGAGCCTATATGTAGCACAAAGGGAAGTTGTATTTCGATTGTTAATGCTCCAAGAACTAATCATGAACACATTACTGAAAAATATCATAAAGTATGCTAACATTTGATTTTCTGGAGTTTGGACCATTTTCGGTACTGCTTAATAATCCCATTTTGCATAACATATTCAGTGTATCCAGATATTTCCATACATGGAGCCTTCATACAGATTATATGCAAGCAAAGTATCACAAGCGTCATCAAATGTATTGATATGTAGGTAAGGTAAGGCAAGTTGATACCTATTAGGTTCTAATTGTTCCCTTAATTTTATCGGTAAACGGTAGAACAGTGTATCGGCTGTTTTACTATCTCCTAAGTACTCTTCTAGTCCTTCAATCTTAAAAGAAAGAAGATAAAATCCAAACATGTATCATATTATATTGTCACCATCCGACACACTCGTATAGTACATTTGTTTTGTTGAGATAGTTTATAGAAACATCTTATACTGAAATATATCATACATTGTAACGGAAAGATACTAGCTTGCATAAGACAGATAAAGGAGTGACATTAAGGATAGTTTCCAAATTAATCCATCCATCATCTAACGTTACTTTGCCTTTATAAGCTGACAGCGATCGCCTCCAGGATTCTTCTGGGCCTACTTCATCATCAACTACATTGTCCATTGTCCACATAGAATCAATCATATCAGTAAGAAACAAAAAACAATGCTTTATGATAAAGGTAAAAACAAATGACCCTTTACGAATACATAATTATTCAATGAACAAACATTTATGTCCATAGGCTAATTCCCACAAAAAACAATGAGCTAGTTTTAAACGAAGCATTTTTGGAAGATATCCATAACTTTGAGGCCGAATCTGAAACAGTAGCATCGCTTTCATATATTTGTACTAACAAATAACGGAGCTGAAATTATTTAGCAGTAAATAATACTATCGTAGTTTTTATTTACTGTTGTACAGTACTAACAGGATTATGTTCAAGCTGAACGTCGGGCTCCCTTTTTGGAAGAATGGTATTTTCAGACTGTTGCGCTACAGATAACTCCACAACGTCTTGTTTAGGCAAAGATTTATTTTGCTAAATAAATGTAACGTTTAGATGGGTACCAATAAATGATACAATATACAGTACATAGTATAAATTGTATTTACATGCGTCTTTACGTTTAGAGCTAGCATTACCTTTCCAATTGCATCTTTTTCCATCTTCAAACTGTACTGAATCACAAGGTTATTCAGCAATTCGTCATCCATCTCGATATCAGGACTGCATAAGAATGAAACCTAGAAAGCCCCGCAGATAATTTTGTAAAAGTGATTCACGTAAGGTCAGCACATCAGCAACAAACAAGTACGTACAACAATCAACATACCGTAGTACTTCCGTTGGAACATGTTGCAGTTTTATCAATTACTTTAACCGTACCCTCTTTAGTTAATTTACTAATTAATCTTTATTAAATTAAGAGAATTCTGTTAATAGAAGATACCATAGATGAAAATTGCATACTACTATTCATGACCAAAAAGAGCATCAGGCAATCCAATATTGTTATTTTAATTAACAAACGATAACCTCTTGATACTTCTGTAATCACAGACTTCTTTTAAGCCCTCATCGCGTTCAGTATTTCTTATGGACTGTAGAACCGTACGATAATTATAATTTTATTAATTGGCCGCTAGCATGCATCATTAGTCAGGGATTTCAACCTCAAAATATCGTGAGAGTTATAGTCTTAACTTACACGAAGGATTTCGTAATAATTGTCGACATGAACACATTTTTTCTCATTTAGCCATTCGAGAATCATATTTTGTCTCTTTAAGCTCCTATAGCCAACTGCAATGATTGATACTATAAATTATAAGTTCAAATTAAAATTGTACGAGGTAAATTATATACCTCTTTTGGAATTTTCAACAATTTGCTTAACAAATATCACGTTCCCTATTTCTTGACCATTGCCTTGAGCGGAGGTGTCAATCAAGGTAGGTGGCTCCTTTGATTTCCGAATACAAGTGTCAAGTTGGTCCATTCTGACATTTTAAGTTAACGTTTATTAGTAAAACTAGTAATGGACTGTAACGATTTAGTTATTAAAGAGCAATAATAAATACTATTAAATCACAAAGTCAACCAGTAACGGCTAACTTGTTAGAATATTCTCGGGTTTTCTTAACTTCGTTCGCAACTTTCTGATATAAAGAGCTACTTTCTTCTAGCACCTTAGCAACATAGCTGTATTGTAGATGCCATAGTTTGAAAAGTAATAATCATGTTTAAATAGTAAGTTTCTTTCACAGACAGACTGGCATCTTACGCACATTATACATTATTAAAGCAGCATAATAATAAGATTTACAGAAGTTTTCGTTGTTTTCCGCTGCTCTTTGAAATTTCAGTAATGAAATTTCTATTCAGAAGACGTTTAATTATTACCCTGATATCGGCCGATTTTAGTCTAATTTTTTTCAGTAAATCCTATGTTGTAATTTAAATCAAATCAAAATTCCTATAGTGACTAAAATCATTATCAACAAAACAAGGCTAAGGTTAAAAGCTAAAAAACGTATTGGCTTACAAGTTTAGATATTCCGTTATAACTTTCATTATATATCATGTTATAGACTTGCTGCAGCATTGGTTCTTCAATGTTAGGAGCAGACACCGAACCTGAATGTGCCATATCTGAAACAGCCCATTAACATAGTATTATGCCTATGCAATTATATCATAAACCAATATAAACGTCTTGTAGCAAAGTTTTATCTCAGTGTTGGTAAAAATTTTATCCTTTTTACTTACCAAATTCCTTACATCATATTATTAATTCAGACATTAAATTACGGAACCCACTTTTACAACTATTAGATAAAATATTACATCCTAACATATTGCTATAATGCATTTAATAATATATTATAACGTTCAGAATTTACATTTTCTTCTCAAATAAACTGTAAATATCTAAAATTTTGTGAAAACCAATTATTAGGTTTCTTTAGTTTCTCACATTCCCATAATAGAGTTACCTTCACCTTAATTCTGGTAGTAAAAGTTGTAAAGTACAGTATATTCTACAACATACGTACAGTTAAGTGGAAACTCCTATCACCATCACTACTCTTACGGTACTGCATATAATGACAGTAATACAGTATATGTCTTGCTAATAATCAGTTGTTCATTCATGACATGAAGTTGATATATGAGGTAACACTAACCGTTGTCAGAATCATCTTCAGTTGATGCATTGCTATCACTTTCAACAGAGCATTGATAACTTTTTAATAGTCTAATATAGGACTGAGGCGTGGACTTTCGTTTATTACTGATAATATCAATAAAACCATCTGCAATTAGAGCTTGGCAGACTTTTCTGTATGTTGTTCGTGCAAGACCCTAATACGTACATATAACATATATTTAACAGGATTGCTGTAATAGTTTAGGTAGCAAAAGGTCATCTTACCAAGTGATTTCTTACGTCGTTGTGAGATGCAATCTTATCTGGAAGTTGCTCAAGATAAGAACACATTTTTACCTTGTTACTCTCTCTAGTATTATGCTGCTGAAGCGTATGAAATCGGGATAGAAGCAATAAATTGCTACGAATGACACTTGAAGATTTTAATTTTACGTGAGACGTCTGAAATTGTTTGAGACAGCAATTTTTAAAATTCTAGAGTTTAACTAGTTAGTAATCTTTTTAGCAATACTATTATCTAAGCTCGTATTAAGTCTTATTAAGGAATCGTTGATTCATTTTTATAAAAACACTTTTCGAATCTTTAGCAAAAAATATGTCGTAATTGATAGCTTTACTGTATTTTATGAGGTGCTAATTAAAAAAGTTCTAAATTAGATTAGGGAGCTTACTTGATGAGTTATCAATTTCAACCTCCAAAGAAATTTTAATTTACGAAATATATTTTTAAAATCAAGCTTAAGGAAGTACTTTGCCAGTATTCGTTGTGTTTCTCCCCTCCATCTTGCCCTTCCAATACGTTCAAGTAAACAAAATTGATCTGCCGTTAGGTTAAAAAAGGACGGATTATTCCCAGTACCAAATAATGCTCTGTCTCTAACTTGTTGATTTGCAACAAGTACAAGTTTATCATCCCACCTGTAAAATAATTTATTAAATTGGTATTCAACTCACTGATAGACATATATCCAATATTAAGGTTAAAAGATAGTATGAAATAAACATAGCAAATGGAGAAGGTAATCGGCAATTTTATTAGTTAATATGATGAAAATATAATAAGATACTAAAAATTAAAATTACTTTGGAAAATTTACTAAATATATATTTATATTTATAATAAGTAGAAATTTTTCTTGATTCTAGTTATATTGATTACGGATGAAATATACGCCGAATGCTAATACTTGCTAATTAATTGAGTAATATTATATCTGACTCAGCATGCACATTAAGATAACTAAGAAATTATAAAATTTTATTAAGATCATCACATAGATAATATCAATACCGTACAACGGTATAACTAGCGCCTTTATTTCTAGCTTACATTGCTGTCGCCTCTTGAAAGGACGTGTTGGCAGTATTATTTTCATTTCGGATAATGCTGGTAATCTTATCACGGGTGTAATAATCACGGCAAGAGCCACGAATTCCATTGGTTTCGTCGCTGATTAAGTTGTAAGGATACGGATCATTCTCTCTATGCCAACTTGACTCTTTGTCCATTAAGCTATGAAAAATTAAATATGACATTTTACAAGAACGGATCTGTTAGGATAACACACGTAATCCGTTTACAGCAAATTTAGATTTGCATTTCTCTCTGCAGTATCATTATAATAAATATTCAAGTCTTTAGCATCTCCACTGAATTAGTCGGTTACTACAATAAGTTGATTCAATTTATTCTAGGTCAGCTACTACTAAGTAGTCACTGGCTACATAATACATGAATCATGCCCTTATCAGACATGAAGATTATCACAGAGATTTCAAATGATTTGTTATAATCTATTCAATTATGATGTAACCATTGAACAGAATCAACTGATTCAAGACTAGTCGACGGTGGCTGCTATACACGCGTATAATAATTATACTCGTAAAAATCATAACAGTATTGGTGATGAAGATTAATTATCGCAGAGATGCCAGAAGTAATACGGCCTATTTCAATTAGGATGCAATCATGAATAGATTCTATGTATTAAAGAGTCGTTCATGATGACTAGTGTACAATATATGAATTATATTAGTATAAGTGATGAAGTAGGAATTTAATTTTAATGTTGTTACCATTGATTTGTAGAGCATTGATTGAGATTGTCATCTAAAGTGGAGTATGTTCTTGCATGGGGTACAATAAAATAATCGATAATGCCACAAGGTAATGACGCCAATTTCTGCCATATATACTCTTTAGCCGCATCATCGAGTGTTAAATCGATTTTTGGTTGACGTTGATCAATCCTCATCCATAATATAGGCAATGTAATTCCTATCATATTAGATTGTAGCATTAGCTATGAAAGTTGATCCTACTGATGCTGCATTTAGATCAACTTGACTCCTATCCTATCATACTAGGTCAATGAATACACATGGCGATCATCATCTTGTGCCTACACACTATCATACGTACACTAATGTAAACATGATACTGCTCAATGTTTATTCAAACCTTCCTATTCCATGATAATGGTATTCCATTGATAACTGCAGTGAGAGCAGTTACGTCCACTAGCTTACCTTCTAATCCTTCTAAAGCAATCTCGTCAATAATTGCTGCAATGGCTTGCATGGCATCCTACGTACATGAACCGTTATCTACGTTGAGCAACAACAACTAAACGATATCAGGGAAGAATTAAATTGATACCAATGATGAATGCTACCCTTGATAGTAATAAAACAACGCCTGAAATTAGACAGTCAATCACGATTTCTTTTAACGTAGCACAAGCGGCGCCATTTGGTTAAAATTGTCCACGATTCAAGATTACCTCTAAACAACAACAACAATGAAAGTCTGATTCCTCATAGTGTGCAAAATTTCTGTCATCCCCACGATCGTCACCTTCATACAGACAATGAGATAGGAGGTGAACTATGACAACAGTTCATTTTGCACACCACAGATGAGTTGATGAAGGAGGGGACGTACAGACATCCAGTACAGTACTACTCCCCCAAGTACTGTACAACTGTACTGTACTGTACTAGTGACTGTTACAGTGCTGTACTGTAACACTACTGTACTGTATACTGTACCCGAGTGCAGTACCGCACTGTACATAGTACTGTACAATGTACCTCTTTGTACTGTGTCCAAGTACTGCGCACTGTACTGTACTGTACAGTACAGTACAGTACAGTACAGTACTATGGGCTGTTACAGTACTGTACTACGGTATACCGTACTGTCCACTAGAGTACTGTGTACTGTAGCAGGGTACAGTACCGCACTGTACAGTGCATAGTACTGTACTATACAGTACTGTAAACAGTTCAAGGACCGATCGTGGCCTCTACTGTACTGTACTGTAATTAAAATGAGATACTGTACAGTACTGTACTGTAGAATCTACAGAGTATAGATGAAGTTACAGTACTGTACTACAGTACAGTATACTATACACTACAGTACCGTGAACTGTAGTAGGGTACAGTACCACACTGTACAGTACTGTAAAAATAGTAATAGTAAACAGTTCAAGGACCGATCGTGGCCTCTAATTAAAATGAGATAGATGAACTGTACAACAACAGTTCATTTTGCACACCACAGATGAGTTGATGATGGAGGGGGCGTACAGTGCTGTACAGTGTACAGTACTGTACAGACAACTCCCCCAAAATACAGTACTGTACGTACTGTACTGTACATACTGTACATTGTAGAGTACAGTACACAGTACTATAAGTAAAGAGGTTTTAACTGGGTTTTTTGGACCTCTTTGTACAGTACTGTACAGTACAGTACAGTACTATGGACTGTTACAGTACTATACCACAGTACAGTGTACTGTAACAGCAAACAGTTCAATGACCGATCGTGTCGTGTCGATTCAGTAGCCAGACAAGAATCTTCCTATTCCTGAAATCAACATTTTAGCTATATCGATAGATTGCATGAATAGAACTTGCTAAGAATGATGTACAATGTCCATCTTGGACATATATACTGCTATGTTGTAGAATAGTGGTAATCTACTATACTGCACACTTCATTGATCGTTCTTCACTGAGCAAAACTTCAATACAGTACTACCTGGAGTGGAGGTACTGCTCAGTTTAGAGGTGAAAGAAATCGTGTAACCATAGAGATACAGTACTGCAGTACTTTATAGCTTCAAAACAGCGACGACAGCACAGTGTACTTCTGCACTCGCCTATAGTACAGTTGATCAGCATCAGAAGTTAGTGCTATCGAGATTGTACTTTGCTCACGTCAAGGCGATCAAGCATGACAAATTAGCCAAACAGTGGAATCAATCTTCTCGCCTACAGTACAGTTGATCAGCATCAGGAGTTAGTGCCATCAACATTGTATTTTGCTCACGTCAAGGCGATCAAGCAGAACAAATTAGCCAACAGTGGAATTAATCCTCTCGCCTACAGTACAGTTGATCAGGAGTTAGTGCCATCAACATTGTATTTCGCTCACGTCAAGGCGATCAAGCAGAACAAATTAGCCAACAGTGGAATCAATCCTCTCGCCTACAGTACAGTTGATCAGGAGTTAGTGCCATCAACATTGTATTTTGCTCACGTCAAGGCGATCAAGCAGAACAAATTAGCCAACAGTAGAATCAATCCTCTCGCCTACAGTACAGTTGATCAGGAGTTAGTGCCATCAACATTGTACTTTGCTCCCGTCAAGGCGATCAAGCATAACAAATTAGCCAACAGTGGAATCAATTAAACTGGTCTAGTAACCAATTCATTCAACAAGTAAGGTGAGAAATTCTTGACCTGGCTAAAGTAAATGCATCCAATGGAAACGATGTACTCTACACTTGTACAGTAAACAGTAGAATTACCAATAGCTGCAATACTTGTACAAGCTAACCTCTTGGACTTGGGCTGAGTCGATTAAGCACAATTGAACTATAGTATCATACTAGTATCTTGCTGTTAGTAGTAATGACTGATTTTATGACGACACAATAACTTGAATTGTTCATGGAAGCCTTAAGTGATTGTTATCGTTATTCATCTCCAAGATAAACCCGGCTACCTTGGCTTAAGGGAGAAGAAAGAGTCTGTGCTTTGAAATGTTTGTGTTGTGTTTATGACAACATGCAATAATGAAAGTCTTCATAGAGGGGTTGGGTAGCTGATATTTAATGCAAGTAAATTGCAACATAAAATAGCATGATATAGTAGTATAGTGTTTACTAATACAGTAAACTAGGCTTGATGATCTCCATCGAGAAACCTGTTGTATTTACTTGAGAGAGAGGGAAAGAGTTAGTAGCTATTTTGTGACGATCATGACATGCAATTATAAAATTGCCCATAGAAAAGATAGCTGATTCCGGTAGTAAATAATTGCAACATAAAATAACATCCGATAGTATAGTTGTATGGTGGCTATTGATACAGTAAATAGTACTTGATAATTTCCACAATAAATTTACTGCATTGGCTTGCAACATAAAATAACACCGTAGGGTTGTATGCTGTCTATTGATACAGTAAATGGTTCTTCATGATCTCCACAATAAACTTGCCTCGTTTGCTTGGAAAAGAGGGAAGAATATATAGCTCTGAGATGTTTGTGTTTATTATAATACGGAAATAATAATAAAAGGATTCTTGTATACTGTTTACTACTCCAGCGAATGACACTTAATCATCACTACGTTATCAAGAATTTTGTAGTCTTTAATGATAGCGTACGATGCTTGCTTAAGACAGAGATATGAATCTCGACGCATGAGAAATTTCTGTTTATTTTGACATGTTATTATAAAATTATCAATCTACAGCGTTCAGTAGCTGATTGTTAAGTAAATATCTGCAACATAAAACTGTATGACATACTTGCATACAGTTGATCACGACAATGAATACTTCTCATCGATCTTTATAACAATCCCCTTCGTCAATTTGAAGTAGATATGAGGGTCTCTAGGTTCGAGCTGCATCTGCTCAATCATGATATAACAAGTAGGAGTAACTGATTGTAAATAAAGCGTAAAATAAAGTGGCATTTATACTGCATTAGTATCTAATCGAATCCGACGAGCTCCTCCAGCAAATATAGTTATAAATTCATTAACTTGCAAGTTCCCGTTTACATCCTAAAGTAAAATCTATAATCTATAGTGTATATCTTCATCGTTATAATGCAGCACTGTATACTTTAAGCTTGTTGGATAGAATTCATCCGTTACTACTACTAATATATTCAATGCAGTTGATATGGAGTCAATATGAATTAAATTAAGACGTTAATATTAATGATCTCCACGTCTTTGATTCTCACTCATTTCTAGATAAAGTAGCAACGACCTGGAAAGAGAGCCGTAATAACAATGGCAACAATTCAAGTTCGTACTACCGTTGGCATTGTATGTATTTGCATCCTTTTCAACAATTGCTGGCCTATTACCGCTAATAATTTAGTCTCGAATCCTTCGTTTGAAGATATTCTTAGCAATCATTGGACTTTCCAGCATCGTCAATCATTATGGGATCTAAAAGCAATAAAACCCAACGACAATGACAACAACAATCAGTCAATAAGCATAACATCAGCACACGCTCATCATGGCAATCGTTCTTTAATGTTTACATCATCGTCAACTTTACAACAGCCATCACAAGGCTATACGCCTATGCTTGTAGCCACGCAATTTCTATCTTTTGATCAAAGTTCTACTGATGGAATTCATATACTATATCACCATTGGTATTTAGGCAAAGGTTCATGTTGGAAATTAATGATCTATATTAGGTAGGGACATAAAATGTAAAATTCTAAAAAAGTCGATATTGAACTTTTTAATCAATTACTCAATATGCGTATAAATTCAAAGTAGAGCTAATAAACAAAAATTGTAATTTTTCATTTTTTAGATATACCGACAACTCTTACCATCAAGTTCGATACAGCGGACTGCAAAATAAAAAAAATGAATCCGGCACAGTAACAAAGGATACTTTTCAGCCATTTTGTTTGCATATTCCCTTATATAAATCAGTGCGACATATTATGATATCTATCATGTACCAACTTCATAATCCCCAGTGTCAAGAAAATTTATACATAGACGACATCTCGCTAAACATCATTAAGAGAAGTAATGATAGCCAAAAAATGGATTACTGTCATTTTGAACAATCTTCCTTTCCTGTCCGTCGACATACATGGAAAAGATTTCAGATATCCGAATTTACTTTGCACAAAAAGACTAGCGGCAAGGATCCATTTATTACAATTGCAACTCAAATGACAATCGACCGGCTACCTACCTTAGAAAGATTGGTATGAGCGTTAACAAAATCCTAACATATTATAGCAGCTTTCATAGTAAAATCAATAACAATTATTCAGTTGCATCTTAAATCCTAAATACATTTTGAAGAGATAGAGAATTCAATGATGCGAAATCTAGCTTGATGTTCAACTACCTTCTTGCTTTATTATACGTGTAGGTACAACGTTGGCAAGGCCCAATATCTGTTGTCCTGTTCGTCCTCAATGACATAAGTGGGGTTACTGTTCAAGATCATCTACAACAAGTACTTGGAAAGTATCATCAAGTTGACGATTTTCGAAAATTTATTGATTTACACATTGTATTTGAAGTAAGTTTAATAATTCTAAAATACCAAGGATCGTCTAATCATGCAATTTAAACTAAAAAATCGCTTCTCGCTACAATACTGTATAAACTCTTTAACCTAAACACATAGATATCCCAACCAATCTATAGATTTTTTAAGGCAAGAATATTCATTGATAACATTTATGGCCTTGCCATATTCTAGGATGCATTAAACGGAAAAGATAGCGCACTCTATCCTGTGAACTTCTTAAGAAATTTAGCTATCAAATTTAGTAAAACGTCACATGTCTATCTTCTCGATATTGATATAATCCCTTCCGTTTCACACGAACAAGCGGTTGCTGCTATAATGAAAGCCAGTCATGATATTAATAACAGAGAGCATAATATCAAAGTTTGTCAAAAATGCGCTTTTATTACTCCATTGTTCAAGGTAAGCTTCGCAGTAAATATGGAAGAAAGCAAATAGATTGTTTTTCTTAATAAAATCGTATCATGAAGGTAAAATATCCCAAGAATTTATTCAAGATTTATGTACAAAGGCTGTTATGGCTACGTATTATGCAGCCGTTGATAGCTATTAGTGCAGCTAATCTCAGTTACGTTGTACTATCACAGCTGAAAACGGATGCAGTAGATAATGACATTCCTAGAGAAAAAAATGTCCTGCTTGAACAGATTCGCAAGGATAATCCTCCTATTGAACCATTTCATGCTGTCTCTCATGCAATGACTCAATTTGGTATTTGGTTCAGTAGTTCATCTGCATTTAAATCTAACTATATGTGAGTAAACTCATTAAAATGACATTAGTGTCGTTCTTAAACTGTTACTGTAACGTACTAACTTCCTGTGTTTGCAGGCGTGTTGTAAATATTAAATGTTATACACTATAATGTATAGGTTCTTAACCCTAACATTTATGATTATATCAAGATATAAGTATAATGGTATTTAAATTTTGCAATCATATTTGTTGATAATGTATGCTCTATGCTCTCAATTGTAGAGAAAATAACGAGCCATACTTCATCATTAACAGAAAGTTATCCCCTAATATTAATAACATATTCTCTGGGTAAGGTACATTATACAATACATAAATAGATTTCGTCTGTAAATTGATCAAAATGAGTGTTATCAATCTCGGTTAAATCTTCTGTTAGCACTGTTCAAGCTATAAAATACTAGGTAACTTTATATTTTATGATTTTAAGTAGTTTATTGACCGCTTAGATGGTTTATATTCTGTATATGAAGTTCGTGTAACTTAAAAATTTAATCCTGTCACTTCTAGAATTACCTAATAGCGATTGTAAAATTTATTATTTTCCAATATCTTCGTGTGACAATTACTGGCCATACCGGGGTATTGACAGTTAAATTAGTATCAATTGTGTGCTAAGAAGTAAATTCAATTCTATGCAATTAATCATTTAATTTATTCACATTTTGATCGGAACTAATTTTAATATTTTAAAGAATTTCCCCTTTTGTAAATTCACTCGCTTGATATGCTAGCACAATTATAAATTATAACTTGTAATTTCTGATTTTATTATATCATAATGTTGATATAATTGACTTACTTTTGATAGTTATGGTCGTGATAAATGTGCCTATGCTCATGAGGTCCATGCAACTGGATTCGAATTCGTTGTTCTACCCCATGTATTTGCTGTGGACACACCAAGTACTGGAAACTCTGAGATATTAAGCAGGTAAAAGTGATTGCACTTAGCCCTTGAGCCCCCTCACTGTTATAAACCTAGCTATTGTAAATGGCAATTACTGTGCAACGAAGGTATAGCCTCTTTATCAAAAATAATTCTGCCGTATCCAGTCTCTTCATTATTTTCTAATTATATCCCAAAATTCAAAGCATCTGATAACTACCAGAAACTATAAGATCTTAATAATTATTAACCTTAACTGTCAGCAAAACTAGAATAAGTTTTTATTACTGACGTATGAACGTAGGTCAGCAACTCATGGTGAATTTTTACCTATCGATGTATTCTTAAATTCGATATTTCACACCAAAGAAGTAAAGGAAGTCTACCACTCGAAACGGAATACAAAACAAACTAAGAATGATATTGAAGTAAAAAATGACAATAACGGTAAAACTGTCGACCAAACAATAAAGAAAACATCAAAAAGTAAGAAAATGGTGAAAAAAGATATGAGTGGATTCGGATGTAATGATGCTCTTATTATTGAAACCGAAAGTACAGCGTAGTAAGAGCTAATAATCAAAAGTAGTAAATAATTGATTTTACAATCTGTTTATCCAGTTACTGTATGTGCAATAATTAAATCTATGTTACATACTTCTAGTTCCAGTCGCCCGCAATATGTTATCGTGGAAAAGATGGCTGCATTATACGGTACAATGGTATTAATAGAATTCTACTCTGGTGGTTTGGTATGTTAATAACTTAAATTTTAATTTAGAATTTATCTTTCGAATACAAATGGTACTTGTTCTTTCATAAGGTAAAATTATACTTTTATTGTATAAATTCGTTAGTTTCCTTTATTTAATATCATGTCACATCTGGATGCCAACATAATCCTGAAGTCAGGTTAGTATCGATTTCATGAGTTGCATTTTGCGCTCATTTACCAATTGCTTAACAGTATATTGTAGTTATCCAAAATTGCCTACAGATTTCAAGCAGACAAAGGAATTAAGGAAACTATTTAAGGAATTAGTAATTGCTGATAATTAAGCCTAAAAAATATGTACTAAGTTGCCTTATTAAATTTTAGATAATAGTCACCAAGATAAATTACGATCAATAAATTCAATAACAACGGAAAGATACGGAAAAAATATAACCAGCCTCCTTCAACAGGTATTTCAATTAAATTATTTATACAGATATATCCTTATGAATCCACTATTATGACAAACTTTATGACGATGCAAGACAACTTATTCTTTTCTTGCTCCGGACTTAATAATATTTATAATTCAACATCTAGGTCAGAAGTGAAAGGAGCGATCCAATGTTGTTTTGGATTCCTACGCGCGATCAATCGCAACAGTATGCACCTCTAAAATGCAAAATATATTCTTTTTAGATATCTAATATTTGTCCTTAAATTTATTAGTAATATCAAGACCATGTTATCAGCTTGTCTAACCTATGCCAAGAAAAAGGACATTATAATCATTGAAGATGGGCGCCAGGTAATTCAACAGTTGTAGAAAAGAATGCTTTGTGCTATTACGGTATTAAATGTCGTCAACCACGTAAACTATTCATTATTATTATTTCTACCATATTAAGGAGTCTTTAGGTGAATACAAAGATAGTATGTGCCAATATAAAAAGAAATGGCGAATCAAGATAGAAGAAACCGTTACAATCATCAAATCACCGAAAGTAACTGGACGATCTCCTGTAAAGTTTCCCCCGTTTCCTACAACTACTCAAAGTAATAAGCCTCCAAATTGCAACGATAGAAGGTTGCTGCTAGAACATTAAGAAGAAATTTAGCATTTACTTGATTTGCTATAATAGAGGATATACGTAATTCACTAAAGGCGACTAATATAATTAAACTAGTATTTATTTATTTATATATGTAATGGATAAAGACTAGTATCAGAGTTAATATTGTTTACGAGGAATCGACCTGTGCAGACGCTATCGTTTATCGAAAGTTTAAATCAGATTGCATCTGGATTAGACAAAGTTTGGATCTTATATCGTGCTGATAATGAAAATTTTCAAAAGGGGCAAGTTGCAGTCCAGCTCTGTTGTGTCCTACAATGTCCAGCTAATCACTGATCATTAGAAATAAATATACGTTTTAACCTCTATTTTATAACTATTTTTATTTTTGTATTTTTTTTTAGATATCAAAGGTGTTTCACCTGTTTAAAGAATAGAACTGATTTTAGCATACAGCCAATAGAAGAAAAGCCTTCACAATTTGGCCAAAAAGTTTATGAAATTTTACAAAATTCAACAGCACAGTAATGTCAACAACTTTCGTGTTAATCTGATGTCATACTTTTATCTCTATCAAATTTAAAATTAATGATAGAATAATGGTTAAGTAATTGATGTTCTCTACAGTTATATAATCTACGCTGTTGACGAAATCATTTGGCTGAGACCAGTAAATTTTAGTTACGTCTCCTGTCAGCTTCATGTAAGAGTGATAAAATAGAATCAATTTTCTCTTGTTGGTCCAGTTCATTTGTTTTATTATATTTCATGAAATTTCGTAGTTTTATATACGATCATAGCTATTAATAGGTCTAAATAATATGACTAATAAGTACAATGATGACACTACATTCAGGCTGCCGAAGGGAAAATTGCTAGCGCACAACTGAGACTAGGAGAAAATATAAGACCTACCAGGTAATCTATATGAAATATCATTAATGCTACAGCATAATTCTGACATATCATTCATAATATGAGGCATTATGTATTTTATTAGTTTAACTTTGAATGTCATACAATTGCAATTGAAATTGTTTTATTAGGTATTTGGAAGAGCGAGATAAATACAAAGAGCAAATTTTTCCAGTAAAATATGACTCAGAGGTAACACTTACAATCACTCCATTTGGTGGCATGGCTAATACTATTAGAGATATAGTAGCTAGACCTAATATGCTATGATCCCGCCTCTTCTTAGTAACTGCTATACGATTTAACCAGTTTTATTACTCTATTAGTTATTTCTGTCAATCTTTGTACGAGCCTCCATGAACTTAACCCTATTACTAAGACATTCAGTTATTATTTTTGTTAAAATTTGTTTTCTTTTCCGCTATGGCTATTTTTTAATTAGATTCTTCTGATGTACCCATTCACTCTGCCTTATGATAACGGTTATGTGATTCATGTTGATGGTATCATGATGGCAAGGTAAATATTGTGGACCAGGTTACTAATTTATAAATAGACATTTGAAATATATAAAAAATATAAAATACAAAAACTATGCGCGATACTATGATCTTTCCAGCACATATTATTATATAAATCTTCGCATACTGTATAATGTAATTTAACAACAATAAATTAACTTCTAATATCAGCTGCTTTTACTTGCATAAACTGACTGCGAGTACTACCTAATTTTAAGCTATAAAGTTTTTAATATGATTTCAATAATTTTCTGATAAAATTGTCGTGATTCCATCTTAACTCTGTACACGCCTTTAATGTACGCCTTGAATGATTGCAATTAGGCTGCAGTTATTAGAAGATGGCGAAACATATTTGACTTTATTAAGAAATCCCATGGAATTAGAAAATACTTGGTTATGGAAGAAATTATCACAACGTTGCCGTCAGTGGCATCTTTCTTACAAAACATCTAGACTGGTCAACAATGTACTAAGTGATGGTCGTATTCTTGACCAGGTAAAGGATAATTAGTTCATATTTGTATTCAAATTCAAGTATACCTTAGATAATGATCATGGAATATGGTTAGAAGTTAATTTCAGCTGTGAGTGATCGTAAATATTCTATCCATTTATTATAAGGATAAACCATCAGAAAAAAGTGAAAGACTCTTAAAAATATTTTTGGACGATGGAAAGCGTGTCGATGTTAATAAAACTCGGCAACAGCTACTACGTCATACTGCTACTCATACGGTTCACCAAGTCGATTACATTAGTAATTCTTGTTCAAATAACAGTGATTAACAAACTATGAATAAAAAATGTGATTCAATGAATATCTACACTCAATTTCAGTGTATTCCTCCTAACTGGTGTAATTTCGTATTCTATTGTAACTGACCGATTAAAATTAAATATTATATTATCGACTGTGAGTTATCATAATTTGTACATTCGTCATTTTAATTGAAAGCAACATTGATACTAGAACTGATGGAACTTTTGTATATTTTTGACTAAAATTCAATTTAATTGGAAATGATAAAATTGAGAATTAATTTGTTAACATTTTACAAAATAAAGACAAGCTATGTTCTATTTGTAAAAGGAAGCTCAGTTAAAATTTTTATTAATATTTGCAATGAATTACTAGGTAAAAACTTTTTTCTTAGTCTGATAAAGGTAGACTAAATCTTACATCTGTTTGTACAAAATATTTACAGATAACTTGAGTAACAAAAGTATTTCATAAAAAGTAACGACATTAAAAATCTACCCAATTTACTATTGATGTCAATTTTGCGTTATTGGGTCTTCCGAATAATAAATCTACCTATTTCGTTATGTTAACGTAAACGGAGTTACTAGCATATCGCAATAAATTTGTTAGCAAAGACAGCACTAACTGCTGGATTACAAAAAAACATGAATTTATATTATAGTCATCAAGTAAGCATGACCAAGCGAATACTATATCATTTCATTAAATTCCAGCTATAGAGTTGTATCGCCATGTAGATATTAGCTAACTAATAGATATTTTCACAAATCTTGCAAAATTTTTATGAATTGAATTCATTATTAATACCGATATGAATAAGTTTCTACTTTCCCTTTTCATAGCCATCGAAAATTAACATTAACTAGTAAAAAACTTTATCAGCATTTACAGTAATGAAAAATTTAAGGTAACATAATGGATTACCAATATTGTAAAAACTGTAATCTAAGCTAAAATAAAGTATAATGAAATAACTTATACACCATTTGAAGCAATACTTGGTTAGGATGTTATTGTTAAAGTGCTCTCTATAAAGATGTTTCATGAGCGCTTCGACTAGAATAAGAACAGAAGAACAAGAATGATGTTACTCACTAATGAAATTCGAATTAACTATTGTAGTGCACTGCGATAATAAAAATTTAATAAATGAACTTAATACTTACTTTGTTGATGATGAACCACGCCTTACAGCAATTGCTATAGCATCAGAACCATTAGAAGATGTTAGCGAGTGTGAGGACCGATGGAGATCATTTTGCTTAGAATTTCGTAATTCACCACTAGAAGAAAGATTATTATGGAATGAAATAGCCGCATCTGATACACTATGTTGAACAGCAACAGGGCCATTGCCATGTCGTGATCTCTGACTAGGTCTTCCTTGACTCGAAACAGCTGATTCCGCATCAAAAGTGGAAAGCGACGCTTGTTGACGCATTGGCTTAACCGGATTGGATCTAGGTGGTGGTTGTGGATGTCCCTTGCGCATGGGTGGTTTGGGAACACTATTATCATAAATCAAGCATACAAATTGTGTCAAGTCACCATATAGCTTTTGATTAATTATTTGTTACGTACGACTTTAACTATTTTTAATCTACTGCGTCGCTACTCGAATTCGCTACATAATATCATTAACGATAGGCGCTTCTACATATTCAAAGGAAACACTAATATACGTATATTCTATAATTTATGTGTATAAAGACCCGATATGGCTATATTAGTAAAAATTAGTAGCTGTAACATTAATTACTTATATCAGTACACATTCACTCTTGTATATCATACTTACAGATGCCGAGGTCCACCGGGCATCATGCTAGCTTCATTCTGGTGAGCAACGGAAGATTTCGCGTATATACTACGAGGAGGTTGTGCATGCTGTTGCTTATCATAGGATTTGTTTGGAAAGCTGTTACAATTAACATAGGAAAAAAGAAAATAAAAATATAAAGTAAGCATCACAAAACACGTTAAAAGCAAACACGTAAAAAGAAAAAGCGAATCTAAACTAACGAAGTGACTTCCATATCGTCATCTTCATCTTCTTCGATAGCCAGTGGAGGTTGCATTCCAGAAAAGCTAGAGCCAGGGCGCTTATTTGCTGGTGGATTACTTCGACAATTAGGAGGATTGATCCTATCCTCCTGGAAACTAAACGACGTCGGTACGTTGTTACGTACAACAACTTTCTCTGAACCCTTAGCAATAACTTTATTTTTCGGAGAAACAGGCGATACCGGTGATGTCGGTTCTAACATAGTTTCATCGATGGTAGAGTACACATGTGAAGAGCTCCTTGCTGGTATCAATTGATTTTGACGCAGTAATACCTGTGGCTCATGCGAGTGTAGTGATTCCTTGGACGAATGAACGCTGACTGATTCCTGTGATTTATCAACCTGAGACCCTGATGGAGTAGCGCTTCTACTACCGTCTTGATTCGGCGGCACAGATGCCTGCCGACTAGGTGCTTTCCAATTTCCTTTTTCATCATCTGATGATGTCGACGCATAATTCTGTTCTAATACTTCTCTGACATCTTCTTCTTCAGAACTTGAACCAACACTATCGCCATCAGCAGCTATCGCTGATTTTTCATATGCATCAGTAAATTCTCTCCATGCCTCATTATCGGGTACACCAAGAACATTACTGCCATCAACATGATCATAAGATCGAGCAACAGGATAAGCATTTGGTCCAGCGAATCCGTGGCCACGACTAGTATCAATCCGACCATTGAAATGTCCATTTAATCCGTTACTTCGATGCCCATTCAACTGACCTTTATCAATTGTGCCAGTATAGTATGTTCCTTCTCTACCACAGAGGCGTGCAGAGAGTTCGCTTCTTACAGATTCATTGCTAATACAGTAGCATATTAATATGCACGCACTTTTAATGAAGTTGACCATAGTAAAAATATATTGAAAATAAACTGTCTCATTCTGAACAGCAATTACACCAAATACCCAAGCAGCTGTGATAAAGAGTAATATAAGCATTCCTGATCTTAAATCAAATTTATCACTGTCGATCTCTTTTCTGTTCCATCGTGTCATTGAATTTGATCTAAATCTTATTTTATGGTACGTTAGGCAAAAGAATACCAAACTAATACCAATAATACATGCTGCTGGACATCCCAAACTCCATATTAAACCATGTTCAACCGAGAGCCAGCAATATCGTTTGTTATGATAATAACTTAATGAAATGGCCGTAGTGGCAGTTGCAATTGCCGCCGGAATACCTATTACGCAGACAAGAAGAGATGTCAACAAATTAATCCTAACGTCGAAATAAAATAATGTATCACGTTTTACTATATGGTATATGTTGATGCAACGGTACCAGTATTGAATCAATAAGTAAAATAAATTTTCATATCTAACCGTATAAAATACTCCTATTAAACAACTTACCATAACCCGGTAATAAGCAAAACAATAAATGGCACTTGGTAGTTTTCTTAGTCTCTTTCAATTTACGATACATATAAATACTTTCAATACAAATCCACGAAAAAACAACAAGTAGAAAGAAGTGTAACAATGTCGAAATGGCAATGCAGATCATCGTCGATGCAGTTTGCGTAATTCCAATTAAGAATAGCGATTCAACAAGTATTAAATTAATTAAAATATGACAATGGATCGTATTAGTACTACCATTGACACTTCTCATAACCGTTAAACATAAGAATACCGACACTAGCAATAATAACGATATCCCAATACCAATATACGTAACTAGCTCAAGTTTGATAGGTGTGACACTAGGCAAAGGTTTCGACCTATACCTTGACAAAACACCAAAGTCTGTCAAGTGATTACATTGGCAAACAGTTTTGCTCGAATCGCGTGAAATCAATGAACAGCCATCTGTTGACCAACGTCCACCCTCTGTTAGCTTAAGATCCTTTTTCCAGTAAACGCATTCATGTGCTTGCACGTTTGATACTTTTTTGGTATTAGACAGAGTCAGAGTAATAGGAGAACTCAATGATGATGTATCGACCCCAACGACTTTACACGATAATACTGTACTAGTTACCATTATATCATATGGAGCCACAACATCAGACTTTCCAGGCAATAATTGACCAATCGTATCAAATTTTAAATATACAATGGGCACCGATTCGTCCGAACTTCCTTTCTTAACTAAGTCATTCGGTAAAGAAATTCGGTCAGTAATGTTAGATACGCTACCAGAATCGCTAGGCCTTGGCAAAGTTAAACCGTTGTACTGTGATACAATAATTTCTTCAATTCGCATCATAACATTCGGATACGTAATAGCATTATTGATACTCTTATCTTTAATATATGCTTTACCAAGGTCGTTGGTATAATCATTTACTGATGACAATAAAGTGGAACTTCTGTTACTCTTTTTACTCCATTTATCTAAATTGTTACGTGATAGTAGTTCACTGATAGCATTAAATGACTTCTCTGTAATTGTGTTGACTTCATTAGTGTTGGCTCGTTGATTGCTACGTCCCAATAGTTGGCGACCGTAAGATAGGGCATTATTTACTACATCAAGGCAGATGTTGATATCATGCTCAAATGACAGTCCTGACGTCTTCAACTGCTGATTTAAATCATTCAATACCGCTTGTAGACCAGTAAATGTTGGGTTTTGTTTGTAGCCATCAAACTGTAAATGCGAAGTTATACTAATCAATAAACCTGTTAAATCAACTAGTTTTCATCTAGCATTAAATTTTACAAATTATTGCATCCACGATTTTATAACACATTGTACCTGGCTTTGTAAACGTAAGTACACTCTACTAGTGCATGCTGATGTATCTGGATCTTGCCAACTTGTACTTTCATTACAGACACGACTTGCTTTTCCTAAATCAATAATTAACAACGTCAAAATAGTACGTAAAAAATAGTCTATATTACATTATGTCGCAATAATACGACATATGATACCTGAGGCACCATTAGGACAATCCATGGTAATGGTAGCATTAAATCGTGATCTATTCCACCACAAGCCACCACTAAATGATCTAGGACAAGCACCTCTAACAACTACAATTAACATACAATTATTTGTGAGATAAAATTATTCTAACAGTAATGTAATTGAAATTATTCCTATTAAGGCATTTAGTTAAACTTATAACGCTAAGTCAACTATTTTTTAACAAATAGCTACCTCGGCATCCATAACCACCATCAGTTGAAATTTCTGACGTTTTATTTACACACAAGTTACATTTATCCCCTGTAACGCCTGGTCTACAGGTGCAAGAGCCGGTCTTTTTATCACAAATTGGTGAAGTGGAACCGTATTGGTAACAATCGCATGGTCTACAACTATCTAAATTAGAATCTTTCCAATACTTGTCCTAAATTAAATTTAAAAATTGCTTTTCTCAATAAATATGTATGTTTCTCCAAACTTTTAACAAGAATTACACGCTAGTATAGCAATACAATCCAAAAGGACCAACCTCACATATGCATTCACCACTTGTAATATTACAAATGTGAGAAAAATTTTTGTTTCTGTCACACGCACAAGGTTCACAAAATCCTGGTGTACCGAATTCACCTGGTTGGCACTTATCACCAAATTGAGTTTCGCAAAATCGACCTTGAAATCCTTTATTACATTGGCATCTATATCAGACCGAACCAGGTGATAAATAAATATGAAGGTTTACTTTTCACTAACAACAAATCATGTAAAAATCTTCTAATTTAATAGTTTAACCCAATTAAACTTACTCATAGCCATAATGTACATTTACATTCATTACACATCGTCCATTATTTTTACAAGGATTAAGACTGCATGCACTGATACATTTTGGACCAACATAACCAGTGCTGCATTTGCAAGTGTAGCGATTCCACTCCGCGACGCATGAACTTTGTGAGGGGCAAGGATTAGAAGCACAAGGATTACCAATATTACAATTAGCTCCAACGTTTTGTTGAACAGTAAAACTTGTTACAGCAATTTGTCGATCATTAATTGCTATGCCTTGCATACATCCGTCGAAACCATTTTGAATAGTAGCAATACTTGTTGAACTATTAATCACACGATTCCCACCAAACATAATTTGATTAATTTGAACTGGTCGAGAAAGATCTAGTTGAAATGACGCTTGATAACTGGTAAAAAGGCAAGACAATAAATTATATTATCAAAAATAATAATCTATCATTATTTGATATTATACAATCAAGGTTCAGCAGTATAAATTAAAAGAAAATATTTTAATATAGGCTAATTTCAGATACCTATTATAATCAAGTTTTAGAAAAACTCCACTTTTTTCCCATTCAATTCTAGCTTCATGCCATTCTCCATCGTTAACCCGAATATACTTCACCACGGTCTCATAATTTCCAAATTTATATTTTAATAGTCCATTCTCAATCTTGAAAAATATAAAATAAATGTAATTCTTAAACAACGGTCATACCATAGGATTGCGTTTACTGTTATGACTACTATACACTACACATATTAAAAGCAAACTGCGTATGTAAAATAATAATATGTTATAATTTAGCATACCATCAGTACAATATCGCGCTGACTATCTGTCATATAACTAAGATATGCATTCCTCAACCGTGTACGAAATATCAGTGATAGTGACCATGGTGCCGTAATAGTGTTTTGCAGTGGTGGTAAAGGATAAATAATAATGCTTTGATCGGTAAATCTCCAAGTACGGACAATAGCTATTATAACATAAAAGCATCCAAATTAGACGATACGTGTGTAAAGTAGTTAGAACAATACTGTAACCATCTACAACATGAAAATGCATTAATAATTTAGAATTAAAAATAAATACAATCTACTACATTGCTTACTGTCTTGACATGTTTTTCCTCCAATATTTGCAGGGCATCGGCACCTGAATCCATCATAAACATCAACACATTCAGCACCAGATGAACAAGGTGAAATCGAACCACCCTGACAACGTTGATCCGTCTGACGGCAACCAATAACACTACCATTGTTGACATAAAAATTGTCTAATGGAATTAACTTGCTATTGATGTACAAATTTCTAATACAACCAACAAAATCATTTTTCTTAAATGCCATTGGATAAGTATCCCTTATAGTAGGTACACCACCAATTTGTAATGGTGCTGTAACATCAAGTGACTTGCCTTGATCTTGGCTTAAAGTAGTAGCTGCACATGAATAGTTACCAATTGTTGAGCCATATCTTATAGCTAAATCTGTATCGCAGTAATCAATTGATACACTAGCAACTTGATTCAGGTATTTAACGGATACAGTGTGCCATTTACCATCGTTAACATTTCCTTCAATATTTGCTGTCGCACTATATTTATCAGTTCCAGTTGAAAACGATAATCGAACTTTACCATTAATAAGTTCAAGCGCTAAATAATCACCTCGATGATTATATCGACCGTTATATAACAATAAGCCGTTGTCGTGGATTGTTGCAAATTGTACAGAAATTTCTAAACGCCATCTTTGTTTAATACCCCCAACAGTAACGTAAGAATTACCAGGGAAACTTCTTTCGATAGCATCACATAGTGGTCCACCGTAATACTTTGGGCATGTGCAATAAAATCCCTGCCCATTAGCATTTTCAACACATGAAGCACCATTCTTACACGGTTGACTTGCACATGAGCCAATTTCACAGTTAATACCAGCATAACCACTGTTACATATACAAGTATACCCATTTTCGATATTGACACATTTGCCATTGTTGCCACATGGATTAGAACGGCATAAATTACGCATTCTATTACAACGTAAACCGGTATACCCAACAGGACATTCACAAGCATAACGTTTAGCTTGTCTAATGTTACGGACAATGATCTTAGGTGTCGAAACAACTGCATTATCAAGTGAAGCTCCAAAATTAACAACACAATCATAATTTGGACTGCATGGTTGTGGCAAGCAATAACCACCATCAAACGGGAGTAAGTTAAAACCTTTTGCTAATAACTGCTCTCGATAAATATAGATACTATCACGAAAGTAATTTTGTAAGTAATATCGATTATTGGTACGATCCCAACCTGAGATAGTTACATTTAAAATATTTTGACCAGCGACATCATCTTGTTGAACATTTAAAATATAGATATCGCGAGATTGGCAGCGCATAATGCCAGCAATAGTATTAGTTAATAATGATGTCATATTGGTAATAAAAGTTTCCGGTAAAATATTAGTAAAACGGAGAACAGCAATATTTTTTAATGTATCCGATGTAACAGCAATCACTTTAAGACTTAATGTTGATCTAGCGACATGGATTCCATCACTAACTGATATTGTCATTTGACGAGATTCTTGAACATTACCAGCACTTGGTGATAAGTATATTTCACCACTAGTACGATTTAATTGTAGCAAACGATCATTGTTACCTTGAATGATGGCAAATGTTAATGTATCTGATATATCAGGATCGGTAGCATTCAATTTACCAACGCTTGCTGTTGGATAATAATCAGGAAAGTAATTAAGCAAAAAGGTATAATTTTGGATTGTTGGCGGATTATCATTAACATCAATAATATGGATTGTTACCGTTGTTTCGGTAAAAAATGGTGGTGACTGTGCTCGAACCCTTATTTGATACGTGCGTCGTATTTCAAAATCTAATGGTCGCAATGTTGTTACAACACCATTACTACTATTAACATGGAATATGCGTGGTTCAAATCCACTAGTAGCTTCATAAGTAATGAAAGCATTTGTCCCTTCATCTTTACTAGTAGCATTCAATTGGACAACAGTTGTTCCAGCAGGTGAATTTTCCGGTAAGTATGCATCATACTCTTTTGGATAAAATTCTGGTGGGCTATCTTTAACATCAGTTATAGTTATCTTAACGGTAGCAAAGCTATGCTTAGGAGGTCTTCCTTTATCGATAGCAGTTACTACAATAGTATATTCTGGAACAGTTTCACGATCTAATGCTTTAGCAGTACGTATAACACCAGTTGAACCATCAATTGCAAATGTACCATTACCATTTTCATTTTCAGCTAATTCAAAATGGATTTGTTGATTAACGCCTTCATCTTTATCTGTAGCGGCGACTTGTAGTACTCTTGTACCAATTTCAACATCTTCGGCAATTGATGCATTGTAAGATGGTTGTGAAAACACTGGTGCATTATCGTTAGAATCCAAGATTGAAATAACCACATCTGTTCGGCCACTCAGCGACGGTACACCGTTGTCACTAGCTCTAACTTCTAACGAGAAAGTGCTACGTGTTTCCCGATCAAGGGCAGCAGCAATTGATATTGCACCACTCTTGCTATCAATTTTAAATTCACGTACAGGAGTTACAATTCGATACGTTAATCGAGCATTCTCATTTGCATCAGCATCTTTAGCGGTCACAGTCAAAATAACTGTTCCGATGGCAGTATCTTCATAGATATCAGCTGTATAGGCTCGATCAAATGTCGGTGCATGATTATTGGTATCGATCACTCTCATCTTAACCGTTGCTGTACTATTTAACAGTAAATCAGACGCTTGAACCACTAACGTGTATTCCTTTTCGCGGAGATAATCAATTGGTGCTGCTAAATAAATGTAGCCTTGTGGATCTATACCAAATCGGCTACGAACGTTACCTACCAAGAAAATATTGAATAAAGTCTATTTAAAATCATCGAACAAAGAAAAAAAAGTAGACAAAGTCACAGTCATCAATTAATGAAATTATACATTTCTTATATTGAAGCAAATTATGCATTTTAACAACGATATTAACTTAATTAAGGCAATCAAGAATTATTTATTATCTTCTATCTATGTACAGCACCATACTGTATAGTAACTGTATCTAGACTGTATTTGTATACTCTTTATTTATAGAAAAATATAACAATCCAGTGTACAGTACAACAAAATTTTAGTATCAGTTAATTTGGTAACTGAAAAAATAAATCGGTAATAAGATACAATTAAGAAAAAAATGATACTTAAAAGTGTATTAATATTACCATCTACGTACCTGATACTATACTGTAATAGATCGTTTTTGAGTCGACATCGGTTGCTGTTACTTGAACAATTTGTCGGCCAACTTTTTCATCTTCACGTACATCGGCATTATAAATTGATTTGGGAAATTTAGGTGCATTATCGTTGACATCCACAACGGTAACTGTTACTTGTGCTGAACTTGATAATGGTGGTGTACCACCATCAGTAGCAATGATAAAAAAGCTGTATTGACTTTTGGATTCATAATTTAACGGTCGAGCAGTTGATATAACACCACTGACACTGTCAACATTGAATGGAATTTCTTCACTTCCTCGCTGTATACTGTAACGTACTTGTTTATTTTGGTCGGAATCAGCATCAAACGCATGTACAGGTAAAACACTACTACCAACGGGAATATCTTCTTTTACACTGGCTTGATATACATTGGAACTAAATCGAGGCTGATTGTCATTAACATCGGTGACCGAGACAACGACTGTTGTAGTATTCGATAGTGATGGTCTACCGCGATCTTTAGCTGTTACATCTAACGTATAACTTTGTTGTTGTTCGTAATCGAGAGATGCAATTAATGTAATCCGACCATTGGTTGGGTTGATCGTAAATTTATTCTGACCAGCTAAACTATAGCGTATATCAGCGTTATCATCATTATCTGGATCGGTAGCACGCACAGTTGTAACTAACGTATTAATTTTAGCATCTTCAGCAATTGTTACTTTGTAATTTTTTTGTGTAAATTGGGGTGGATTATCGTTCACATCAGTGACAATAATAGTGACATTAGAACGTGCAAATTTCGGTGTAGTACCACTATCCGTTGCTTGAATTTCTAAATGATAACGATCGGTTATTTCACGATCAAGACTACGATCGATAATAATTGCACCGGATGTAACACCGACACGAAAGGCTGAATTAATGCCGGCACTATTAACGATTGAATATGTGACACGAGCATTACTACTAGCATCGTTATCTTGAGCACGCACTTGTAATGCAGTAGTACCAATTGGGATATCTTCGGGTATACTAACTTGATAACTTGGTGATTCAAATCGTGGTGCATTGTCGTTGCGATCAAGTACATCAATAGTAACGGATACGCGTGAAAACAATGTTGTTGTACCATCGTTTACTGTTGCGGTAACAGTAAACTGATGTTTTGCAATTTCTTCACGATCTAAATAATTGACAGTATAGATAGCGCCACTAACTGAGTTAATACCAAATAAGCTGTTACTTCTTAAATCGCCGACAGCAGCCATCGAATACGTTAAACCGGGTGCACTTTTATCGCGAACACTAACAGTGAGAACAGTTGTACCAGATGGTTCATTTTCAAAGATGGAACTAGAATAAGAAGATTGAGTAAATACTGGCGCAATGACATCACGCTTGGAACGTATACTACGTCGATTACGATGATGTTCCAGAATTGGATTATTCTTGGATGGTAAACGATTATACCATTCAACTAATTGATGTCGTTGATGATGATTGATTACCTTTTGATTCTGTCGATCATGATTGGTATTAATTTGATAATCTGTCATTAAGTGAATTTTAGCAAAATTGACATTTAATGAACGTTGATAACGTGTAACAACTTGTAAATGAAATGGACGAGAACATAATGAGGCAGTCTTGGATGGATCCGTTAAAGCCTTACAATAAATTTTAACAATTCGTTTGGAAATGGGTGTTAAAACGATATGGCGTTGTGCGGATCGTTCAACTGGTTCAACTTGGCCGACGATACGTTTCAATGCAACATCAGGGAAAATTTCGGCTAAGAATAAATACGCCTCACCTTGATGATTTAATGTTGCAAAATTAGTATTAATTATCTTTTTTCTTGCATCTTGAAGTCGGCATCGGCTACCATGAGTATAAATGGTGATGGGTATTAATCTTTTGTTTAAGTGAGTTAATTTTTGACTGGATAAGCCTGTTGGACGTAAACGTATTAAATAAGACAATGGATTGGACTTTAAATCAGAACAACGAATATCTTTTCGTGTTATCATTTTGCCAGTCTTAGCATGGATTGTAAACAAATTATTTTCCGCATGATTATTACCAAGTGGAAGTAGTTGGTAATCGGCTTGAACGCTATTTAATTGTCTATTCAGATCAACAATTACTGTATCATGTTTCAAGTTATCTTGAATATGGACAATTATACCTTGACAACTTGCACATAATTGAGAGATCGCTATAATGTAACACATTAACCGATAGATGAAGTTGAGCGACGACATTTTACTGCTAATTTAAAATTGGATTGAATCAATTTTCCACAATTTGGATAGGATAAATGGTATACCGCCGCCGCCACGTTTTGTACTTGAAAATGTCGCTAGTCTATCGAGTGAGTCAACATAAGAAAAAGTCAATTGTACATTAAGCATGAAAGGGAATTACGTAGTGCGGGAGAGCGGGGAAAAAAACATCTAGTCTAAAACAGCTTCAATATGGACATGTATGATACACTGTATCGATGCCCGACCGACCAACAAGACAACTACACCGCTGTAGTAGAAAGCTCTCACTCTCTCTCCCCACTAACAATAATCGCAAAAAATGATCATTGCAAAATTTTCCTACGCTGTAAATCCAATCCACTCAGTGAAATAATGTCCTATTACTAGTCTATTTCAACGACAGTTTATTCAATCTTGTACTTACATTGAGTTCGTCCGTTAAAATAATCAATTTTGTTTTGTCGATAGTCCAAAGTGGGTTGAAAAATTGTTGGGTGCAAAGTGCATTGACCTAACCATCAATGGTACTATGGATCCTGACTTGATACCATGGATCCTTTACCCTGGATAGATCTTTCCTCTAAGCTCGATTTTAGCAATTGTATAGAAAGATACTGGACAAGAATAAGTCGTTTCGATCTACAATTGCCTGTTGAACTTGTAAAAAATGAAAAATTTCTTCTGGTTTTTTTTTCCTTCTCTTGACGTCTTTTTCTCCCAATGACAGTAACACTCTCTTCACTGAGATCCAAACTCTCCTTGTCTCTTTCAACAGTAGTCTGTATATAAAGATGGGGCCTGGCTTTCGGGCGTTCTTGACAAAGCCGCCAGTATCTCGATACCGATTCCACTTGACGCTCGATATTGGTACGTACTACACCAGGAATGAAGCGCTGGTATGGTACGTGTTTGAAGCGACGTACTGCACGATCACTGTCGCTACTGTCTGTTTGTTTTGTGAGTGATCGTTGTATTGTTACGCTGAGACTACTTGAGTCGAGAGTGTGTGTATAGACACTGGACACGACACGTTATACGTACCCTAGTAATGGACCACGCTTGGCAGTGTAATACTAAGGGTGGGCACGATGGTACAAGACAGTCTGTTCAACATGGACCAAGTAAAAGGCGGTACAGTACAATTACCGTAACGGTACGGTGATTGACACCAACTGTGGTGACACATACTGGTACTCAACCAACCCAAGTACGATACTGGTTGGGTGGTAACAAAGGGTACTAACTGCTCGTCGCTGTAGCTGACACCACGGTCTGTTGACTCTATTGTGCAGGTCAGTTTGGATCGTTGTCATTGTGGACAAGCAGATTGATCATCGATGGCCTAGGCAGCAAGAATGGCAACAATCTAAACTGACCTACACAATAGTCTCTATCCTACTGCACTGTTTCAATTCCCTGATTCCTCTCGATTGGTGTCCATGTACACTACAGGCCTGCCAAGAAGGAATCTTCTACACATAGCCCTGGGACCACCTGGATATTGGCCTATTTCCCCCCCCCCCCCCTCTTTCTTTTTTTGGGGGGGACTCTACCTATCTCAATATGGACGTAAATCAAGCATGGCACACAATTCAAATTATAACTGAGCAGAAAATAAATTTTATCTTTATTTCATCTCAAATCAAATCAAAATCTTGAAATTGATCGATTGTACCGTTATCTATACACAATCTAATCAATCATTGAGGAACTAACAATAGGCAAAGATACAACAACTTTTCTACGCGCACTTCCTTTTACCCTATTGCAAGCTCTTCCTTGAAATTCAACAATGACTAATAGCCATCATAAGTAATAGACTATTTTGAAAAAATGTGCCACCCTTATTGTCATCCATCGATGACATCCAATTCAATCGATTGTGAATCATTCTTGCTACTATAACCCACTTATGACTGTATACTGTAGCACTATTGAGGGCGATCTATTTTTTCTTAACACACGCTATATTTAGATAATAATTTGCCTCCGCCCCCATGAACAATAGGCTAACAACGTCCATGGGAGGGTAAAAGAACTCATTTATATGTTAACTAGATAACATTAACATCATAAAAGGACGATCACTATTGTCCTCGAGGCCTTTTCAACACTTTGAAATGTTGAACTTTGTCTACGTTTAATTAATCGATAATACACCATCACCAAGTTGATAGTCATGGAAGATACGTAGACGACAGATGAAAATAATTTAATTTTCCAATGTGGACAATCGTTAAGATATTTATTAACGTTCAAAAAAAATATCAACACAACATTTTGCATGTCAAGATCATTATCATGACTGACCCATTGAGCAATACAAACTCAAGTACATGTGCGGTAGACTGTTGACAAAGTTTGTTGTCGTTCACCCTATGTTCAATCAATCACAATTAGATTGCAACTAGAACAAAACAGAATTGATTTCCATCATTGACAGCGATTGATACTGTACTACGATCGATAAGGGCAATGGATATCTTTTATTTTTTTTTGACTGGCCATCTTGAAGATGAAATTACCAAGTTGAAGTAGTTTCTAGCGCCGATCGTATTGAAGAACTAGACTATTTTTTAAAATTGCTACACTGTCATAACAATGAAAGAGTTATATATTAATGAGTCAGCCACAAATTTTCCACAATGATAACCACTTTACGATCCCCTTCGATATTCTAATAGTAATCAGTACTCTACTTGCATACCAACTTAATCTTCGTCAATCTACTCAATATTTTGTTCAATGAAATATCTACCGTAATAAAAAGTAAAAATAATTTTAAAAGAATATAGATCAATAGCATACCAAACGTTAGACTCATCTCTCAATAGAATACCCTATGAGTCAAATGGCAACAATAAGTAAATAATTTAAATGAATAACCTCCTCATCTTATCTCTCGCTTTATAATATGTGACCTATATTGTTCATAAACAGTAAGAAAATACTGACAAATTCTACTTTAATTAAATACGGAAATGAAGATAGTCATGAAAGGGAAAGTTACAAGTTAGGATCAAAGTCAGAATGACCATTCTTGATCCAATAAGAAAGGAAGAATTTGATCCAGTATCAAACATATCAATAGTATCATTGAAACAGTTCCATTTGTCATGTTATACATTCATATTCATCTAGAACTCTAAGTAACATTATCCTATTTCAATCTCTCTCCATTTAATCGAATATATTTACTTGTGATATAAAATTACTACACTAATAAAACATGGCAGTAATCACGTATAGGTAATACACGTATGCGATTTGCACTGTCTATGCCGACTGATTTATAGAAATAGACAACAATAGCATCGATAGTATCATGCAGCTCTCCCTCTTTCCTCTCTCTTCTCTACTCTTAACCATCGAAACTCGCTCATCGGTACAGGATAATATTAATTTTGTACTCTAGTCAGTTTCACAACAGACTCCTATTTCCTGACAAATTAAATCAATACAACGTTTCAATTTCATACTAAGCTAATCTACCCCATGCCGCTTTTGATAGCTTAGGCCCAACGGGTGGCCATTACTACAAACTTAACATTTAAATTAAACGACTAATTTAAAATTCTACGGCATTTTTATTGTCTTGAACTAAGCTATTGATATCAAACACGATGATTAATAGTCTTGTAGTGTTGAGATCATACTGAAGAAAAGATTCAATGGCAAGTTATTGTTTAAATGGAATAGCCAACTTTTCTTATGCTATCTTTTCCATCATGTTACACTACACAATATACGTTAGTACCACTATATCCCATTTGTCTTTAGTATTATTCATTTTTTCTTTCTCTCTTTAGATAAACTCCTGTGATTCAAAAATGACGTGAAATGTTATAATATATACAGTATATACAATCTATATCAATATTACTCATAGTATAGAAATTAAAACATGCAACAATAAAAGAATAAAAGGAGTAAATAACGGTGATGGACATGTCACAACGGTAGATATTGTTCAGCAAACGGCATGCGCCATGATCCAGTTAAATAATATCCTTTTATATCATTAGCCTTCTCTTTCATATAGATATTCATACCGGCTCTAGGTATATTATATAATTACTTTAGTATTGAATTTTGATCAATTTAACAGTGATCGTATGTAGATGTATAACTTAAGGCAGACTCATAATTTCGGAGTCAGTAAATAAAATAGGTTAGTTTATCCGTAGGTTAGTTTACCCTTTTATACTACATTCTATCAATTACATATTTGATTCATCATGGAACTGGCGAATTGGACAGCATGCATTGAAAGAACCTAAAATCCTACTTCAGAAAACCAAAACTAACGGACAGCCATGCCCAAAGACATTAAATTAAAATTATGAATATTTTCAATCAATACAGTTGATTACTGCGACAATATCGTTATCCAACTGTGCTCATCAATAAAAAGTTTTAATAGTTTGATATGATGATAAAAAATACCCTGCACTACCTAATCTAACGATCAAGATAGACTTTCTATTAAACTAAAGCCTAAACTGATAATCTACGGTAATATCATTCTACATTCTAATTTTAATCGCTTCTGTTTTAGACAAAGAATTATCCAGTACCAATTGATAGACAAATAGTAGGGTATCAATTTCATCATTTCCGCATTAATTGTCTAAATGCAAGGAAATAAAGATATCAGAATTCATAATTCAGACTATATGTATTTCACTATTCCAATTTAGACAAGGTAAAGTTGTTGATTAGGTAATGATATTGAAGTTATTAGCTCCTGCTGATACCAGCAGGATTATCACTAAAATTAGCCAATATTGACACTAATTAGCTACCTCAAATTGAGCTTTATAGCATGATCGTCGGTACTTGCTAAAGTACGTAGAATATAACGTATTAAAAATGTTATAGTCTATTTTAGAAAGTACCAACAATCATACTATGTCAAAATATGAAACAATAAACTTATAGGAAATGAGTAATAAATTGTTACTATTAACATTTAATCGACTGCATTTACAACAACG